CAATGAACAAAGACCACTTCTCATATAGCATCATGCTTGCAAACATAAAGGTGTCTGTATCTCTAAACTTTACAATGAAACGTGGGGTTTTTATTAGAGCACTGTGCTCGGCTTGGCCAACTGCACCTTGGGTGTAAGTTTCAAGTTCATCGTGGCTAATCCCAGATTTCGCAATGTCGCCACCAGCCAAACTGGATCCAGCGGTCGACCTCTTCGACGACGACGACCAAAAAATATTTTTTGGGCTGTTTGCGACATTGAACGCGAAACTTTCACACAAGGTGCTGTTGGCCAAGCCGAGCCCATTGCTCTATTCAAAACCCCACGTTTCATTGTAAAGTTTGGATATACAGGCACCTTTATGTTTTACCTATGCTGTAAGCATGATGGAGTTGCTCTCTCCTAATGGATGGTGTCGGCTGCATTAACGGAAAGATGAAGAGCTGAGTGAAATGACACGTGGTGGTTACACAAACACGTCCTTGACAGGTTGCTGCACAAATGGATGATGATGATGATTGCCTTTTGTGAAGGTACGTAAGTAAACAGCATCCAATAATGAATGTGTGTCAAGGTATGCATCACATTTGCATGTAGAAGAAAGTCGAGCTGCATAAACCAATTTGTATATGTAAAAAGATACGTATACATATTGAATGAGTCACCCATCCTGAAACCCAATGGAGGGATCTCTTCACTTTTTCTCTTCTCAAGCTCATCCCACTTCCCACTCCTCCTTATTGTATCACAAAAGCCATATACTTCTTGCATGACCGATACATTAGCCGGACCACCTTTATTATTCCATCTTCGAACCAATAGTATGTAATCCACAAGCTAGCAACCTCCAACAAGCGTGTAATAAATAAACAATGCTTTATTTCATCTAGCTATCGTTTTGGTGTAAAAAGTAAATCGAGACTTGGAGTGAGATGAACGTGTGGATGGCGTTGCGCAAATGTCCTCCAAAAGAGCAGCGTATTCAGTACAGTATTGCTGATTTCCAATTTGATCATCCGGGCGATGATGACAAGATGATCCTTACATAAAGATGCCGTTAATCCATGTCAGTTTTCAACATTGTTCGTCAAGATCCTACCTTAAATGTAAGTAGCCCTTCCAATGTCTCGTTCAACGCTCCTAATGATTCAATGCTTGCAGGGATGGCTATAGACTGCTTTGTTCATAGCGATTGCGACCTTCGAGAACTGTAAACTCGTTTCACCGTCAGCGATGATCACATCAGCATCGGCCAGCAGACTATCCTTGAGACTTTCCAAAGGCCATTTATGATTGATGATATGCATACAAGTAGGAAGGAAGGGCGTATGATAGTGTTGGTGACAAAGAGCCTTGTTTATACATATATGAGTGGGCGTGGGAATTGCTGTCATAATTGATTAGACTGATAAAGTGGTTAAGCATCTTGGAGTGATGGAAAATCAACAGCTGATAAATCCGCCTGCCGCTCAAAAGGTGATTTTTTGTAGGTGACATAAGTATGTCCTATGGTTGACATAATAAACTCGGGAGCTCCATCGATCAGAGTCAAATTCAAGGATCCGTTTCATATATGTCAAGGTGGCAAAGTCCCAACGAGAAGCCTTAGGGGTGTAGTCAAGCTTGCTCTTCAATTGATCGGGCAATCACGACGAGAGGATGATTTCTGAAATATCAGCATGGATCAGATTGACAATTCCCGAAAGATGTAACCTATTGACAAAAGCAATGAGATAAAGCATGGCACAAAATAGGGGTACTTACTTTATCGCTTCCTCTTCAAGAGATGGCAAATGGTCGGATGATAGCTTGCTACTAGCGACAAGTTGTTGCAAAGCCCCCTTGATCGATTGATTGGCCGTCGTATTCCAATTTTTTAAAAAAGCCATTTCCTTTTCATTCATTGATTGCCCGTCAACCATCTTGACACATATGCAAAAGAAAATCACTATGATGAGTATACAAAAAAGCTACTTTTCGCCTTTTCATTTACCTTCTTGTACGCCAACCTGTACAGCTCTAATCCACGATGCTCGGCAGGAAAATGTCATAACCACCAGAGAGAAAATCTCCCACGTTTCATATAGCCTCACGCATACACCATACGTAAAACATAAAGTCGCCCATATCTCATCATTGTAAACGGCTGTATTGTCACGCTGATCCGTTACGTCGGTGATTGAATCGCTGTCAGTGGTCTCATGCGTATGTTGTGCTCGCCAGGTTCAATATTCGGCGCGATGATGAGGCAGTATCACCTAGAGCTCTCAATTCAGTACACGTGTTTGTACCTAATAAACATTCGCGACAGGCTCTAGTATTGGAGGAAGCATTCTTTTTACGAAATACATACCAAGGCAGTGCTAGGCTTCTTGATCTCGACCCATTTGTCCTTATTGTTGTCGTGTCCATTCCATCATCCAGACTCAGCTCTGTATGGTTATCCTTGATTACTATCCAACCTTAGTTTCCAGTCCTTCTTGTCAAAATAAAACACCTACCTCGAGTATCACTTACTCTCGCCTCGTCTACTATCAACAATACCATACACGACACCTCAATTGTATGTGGTTTTCCTACAACAAAAACCGTTAGAATGTTTGTAGAATAAACTTGTCTATAGTCTTACTCTTGAAATGATATGGGGGTCTCTCTGTTTCCTTTTCAATTCGAGCGCGAACTCACGTCGCCACCACGCAAAGAGTAGATTTGGAGTCCTTTTTCTTGTTCGCTTGAGAGCGCTATGACACTTTCCAGATTGCTGTTCACAAAGTCGTTTAGGGTTGGATTCTTCTTCTTTTTGACGTATACAGCGAGAACCGCAATAGTCATACTGCTGGAAAACGATTGCCGTTGACAATCACTGAACGGGTTGGTGTTGAACAAAGGTTTCTTCTTGGGGATTGAAAGGCTGGTCAACCGAAGCTATTACATTCTCATTATTGAGCCGATCCTTCCACATTGTGTATCGTGAACGTAAAGTAATGCATGTTGGATCCATCAGCGTAGCGTGACGACAACAGTTGTCATGACAACACGCTCCAAGTCACTTGAAGTGTTCCACTAGTATGTGTGGTATCCAAATGAATATACGTGGCAAATACAGCATACTTGGATCAAACATACCACGTAAAACAAAGAAAGCATCGAGAGGATATATCCACAAGGACTTGTTCTTGTATTGGCGTAGATCACAACATTCCTTCACATCATCAACCACTTGCTTTGCATCTTGATCAGGTATCCTTGCACATGGCCTTGTACTTGAGCAGCTTCTTCCATCATAATCATCATTCGCGTAACTTCCTTGTTGGTCCAGGGCGCCATCATCAGCAACATCATCCAGAAGCCGTCTACACCATCATTCTTTGTAGTGATTGCACAAGACTCGATATCCACAAGCAAATCAGATAGCGGTACACCTGGTCCCTCAGCTTCAAGATAGGTTGGTCATTGGTGTTGTCATTCGACATGTGGGCAGGAGTCGAAGGTGGTGGAGATGACAACACTGAATTGCTGGGCGTTGCTGGTTGGAAAGGAAGGCAATGTCAATCGTGTACTGGATTCGCTTGCTCTTGAATGACGAAAGTCCCCGTTTACTCAATAGTGCAGAAGCGAAAGATAATGAAAATAAAAGTAGTCGCGTTGGTGCCGCTATCCTTATGCGTTTCATGCAACAACGGCGTTGCACCAGCTGCCTGGTTACTATCCCCCTTTCTCATTGGCAGTTACTATCTCCCTTTCTCATTGGCCAGAGCTTTACTATTCAGCGTTCTTATTCGTAGTTACTATCTCCTTTCCTCATTGGCCAGAGCTTTTACTATTGAGCATTCTTATTCGTAGTTACTATATCTCGATATTGGGGCCTCGGTAACATGGGTGGGGCTGTCCCATTTAAATTGCCCCTGGTCACGCCAAATCAGCTGAAAGGCGAAGAGGGGGAATCGGCCTTAGGTATCTATTTTACGTACCAAGCTTACGTTTTCTCACCATGACAAAGGAATCCACTGGTCTCCAGCCACGTGTTATCTTTCTTCTACCGGTGGCCTTATTGCATTAATTCAACGGTAGCTCCCAGCATCATTCCACCCTACACTACAAGCCGAGGATCCTTTGATGCTAAATCACTAAACATCGAAGCTGATATAGGTACCTTTTTTTAAGATGTAATAAACCCATTCTTTTCTGACACAGCAGTTCAAGTGGATATAATTCTACAAATGCTTTTGTCTCATGACGTGGATAAAGTAAAAAAAGAAGATACATGTTGTACTATTGGCCAAAGCAAGCGTCCTATTTGCTGATAAAGAGATCCTTGCTAATTGAACAACATCCATATTGGAGGACGTGAATCAGTTACCAAAGGATATCTCTTGAATGAGGCATGTAGACGATTACGGTTGATGCTTATCAAGAACCAAATAAGCGAGATGGAGGATGCTGAAAGAGTAAGCATGGAAGATGACGAGGTGTGTGGCAACCTGGTGATGGTTGTTCACCAACGTAGTCTAGCAACGAGCTACAACTATAGATGATGGATACTCTTTTACATACACAACGTCATCAAGCAATGTTGTTGTACATAAAGATACTAGAACGATGTTTATAAAGGGGAAGATACATCGATTCAGAAAGGTTTCTATCGTTTGGTGGGTGTGATGAAGGAGAGGATGGGGAAAAGCAGTAACAGAGCAATAGCTGCATAACAATGCTGCATATGGGTTGTCATGCCAATGTCAAGTACAATGGTGTGAAATGGCCAGATCACCCGGACCATGCTTTGTATCACCTATCAGGAAAGGAAAAGTGCTAAATGATTCGAGCACCACAGGCACAGCAATAATGGGTCGTACAATGTGGGTTAAATTTGGTAGCTGAGCGTATACTCCATCTCCTGTGTTCGTTATCGTTGTCCTCCCGTTCCTTTCCAACACAGCAGCAGCAACTCTCTTTCTCCTTTGTCCTCTTCCTCTTCCTCCTCCTCGTTCTTCTCTATCACAATGTCGAGTTTCAGTAGAGGGCGATTCACACGCTTGGTGCCATTGGTCCTCGTTGCAATGTGTCTGCTGCTTGTCTTTACATTACAAATCTCGCCTTCGAGTCAATCAGCAGCAACAAAAAGCCCAATCGAGAAGGATACAGCAGTGAATGAAGACCATGCCGCTGATGAGCAACGACAAAAGGAGAGGCAGCGCATGATTGATGGTCGTCGTACAGTCATTGAGCCTGGTATGTTGCCTTGACGACAAGCATAAACAAACAAGCATGTTGATACATTGTTCTTAGTGGTTACCCCTCATGACGAAGGATTGGATCATCTCAGCTTTACACACGACATTGCTGTACCCTCGCCGTTACCAGCATGGACAGGTAAAAAGTAGCATCAAGGGTATATAAAAAGTAGAATTGACTTTATTATTAGAGGCTGACATGTTGTCATTGCAATCATTGATGGGGCAACAAGCACTTGCTGATCTCTTGACAGTACCTGAATCGATGCCTGATTTCAAATTGTTGACGTATCAGCAACGTGTGTTCAAGGCATTGTTTCAGTATTTGGATCCAATTGTGGCCGCCGGTGAAGTTGATCTGGAGCATGATCCCAAGTACAAGGATGTATGGGCGCTGTATCAAAAGCTCGAGAACGTGCTGTATCCATGGTTGAAACCTTATTACAAAAACGCATTCCATCTCACCAACACGACCGAGGGACGTGGTATCGTCATTTGCATCGGCAATTATCATTTCCAATATGCTGCAACAGCCTTGCGGGCCATTCGAGAGGTGTTGAAATCGAATCTTCCCATTGAAGTCTTTTATATCCGAGAAAGCGATTTGAGCCCAATGCGACGTCAATATCTTGAGACTGAATTCGACAATGTAAAGACAATTGCAGTCGTCGATCGCATCAATGATTGGTATACACGCTTTGGTGGATGGTCTCTCAAATCCTATGCTATCCTTGCAAGCAGCTTTTCAGAAGTCATCTTGGTGGATGCAGACGCCTACTTTTTCAAGAAACCGGAAGGGCTCTTTGACGATGCTGGCTATCGTAAAACAGGCACCCTTTTCTTTTATGATCGCACTTTGTTCTCTGGTTGGGAAGTGGGTCGTAATTGGTTATTGTCGTTCCTTCCATCCATGAGCTCGTTTGTGGAAAAAACACGTTGGTGGAGTTATCGATCTGCACATGAACAAGAATCGGGCGTCGTAGTGATCAACAAGAGACGTTCCTTATTTGGACTCCTGGCCACTTGCAAAATGAATGACAAGCGTGAGCGTGATCAAGTAACCTATAAACACATCCATGGTGACAAGGAGGTAAGGAAAAAAGGATATATACAGTGATCAATGGTTCTGATCAATGGATACATGTAGTCTTTCTGGATCGGTTACGAGATGATGCAAACACCTTATTCTTTCATCAAGTCATATGGCGCAGTCATTGGTGGATTGGGCGATGCTGGTGATCCTACTACTGTATGTGGTACCCAGCTTCATTTGGGCGTGGATCATCAACCATTATGGTGGAATGGCGGTTTGCTGCGTGATAAGAACAAGTGGCCCGACCGGTATTTGACATTCACTCACTACGCGGAAGGCGAGGATTGGGAGTTTGAAACCTCTTGCATCAAGAACAAGGATCGTATACGAGAATTTTCACAAAAGGAGAGAAACTTGGCTTTGCAATACGTTGCTTTGGATGGTCAAAGGAGAAAGGATGAAGCATTGATTGAAAGTGGAGAATGGAAGCCACGCAGCAAAAAGACTACCACCATGACCGATAATACCGTTGCATAGAACATCCTCATTCATTTACAACCACATCCTGCATTATTCTATATACAACTTTGTACTACACAAATCATTCACATCTTTTCTTTTTTGTACAATAATGAATGGAACAAACAGATATGTGTCGTTGTTTTCTTTTTGTGTAATTACAATGAGGGGTGAGGGAACATTGTTATGATCAGGTAATAAAGATGATGAAAAATAAAGTAACTTATAAAAAGTAATCGGGAAGGGCTTTCGCTGGCACAGGTCCCCTGTTCTCCTGCTATACATACATCGTTAGTATATTGTTATAGCGTAGGTCATCATCCCCATACCTGTGGTGCTGCATCAAAAATCTTGTACTCTTGATTCAGGTTATCATCGAGCTTCAGTATGGCTGCAATGTTGCCGCATCTAAAAAGAAAAGAGCGAGACACACAAGCGTGAATTCATTATCCCATCACTTTTTGAGATCCCTGCATACCTGTAACAATAGTTTGGCGCAGACCATACTGTAACCACTGTGTCGTTGAACATCAGCTTGTAGCCTTCCATGACAAGTTGGTGCGCTCGTGCAATCAATTGGAGATCATTTGTATGAAGGAACTAGTGGTATTTCCTGGTTAGTTGACTTGCACCTGATCCATCCGTATAATAACCTACAGTTTGAACTACGTCTCCACCAAAGAGATATCCAGCACCTCGTGGGCTATAGCCCCAACCTGCAATGTCTATATAACATAGCATGTCAATGACCCATATGACCTTTCCATGTTTCAACATACCATCTGGGTCCGACCACAGCAAATCGCACATTGCACCATCATGTGGGACTTCTTGTTTCCTATCAATGGTTCGAATCTGCAACATGATAAGCAAAATGTCAAGCATATCCAATGATCTGATAGGGTATACCTGATCCAATGTATTGATGCTGGGAGAAAGACCACCATGTACACAAAGTATCTTGTCATCAACAATCGCAGCCAAGCTAAGATAATCGAAGATCTCGCAACAGTATCGCCATACATTGGCTGATCCAAATTTTCGAATGCATTCCTCATAGAAACCGTATACTTGGGTGATTTGTCGACTCTCATGGTTGCCTCGAATCAATGTGATGCGATCAGGATATCGTACTTTGAGAGCTAGTAATAACAAAAAGGTTTCCACTGAATAGAGGCCACGATCCACAAAATCGCCTGATAAAGAAATGAAATGTCAGCTGGTGCTCGTCATTGCCGTTGCCGTCGCCGTCGTTGCAAAGCAACCTACCCATAAATAAGTAGTTGGTTTCTGGACATTCGCCACCGATTCGGAACAACTCTTGAAGGTCGTGAAACTGGCCTATCAACAGCATAACAAGCCGGACCGTTTAGCATATGTAAATCCACCCATCAAACACCACTCTGCGAAAATGGATCGTATGTGTGTATAAACAATACCATGAATATCGCCACAAATCTATAGAGAGATAAAAGCTTGATCAACCTCGTTGCGATCAGATGCACACACCCACCCACTGGGAGATCGTGTATTTACCGTCACTGGTGCATCGACTCGTTGTACATTGCCCTCCTCCAACAAGATTTCCCTTGCTTTGTCACAGAGTTCCTTGACCTCTGGTTCCGAGATGATTTCGCCTCGTCTAAGTTGCTCCAGTTGTCTGTTGTGGTGGTTGGGAGTGTGCTCCGGTTGTTAGTGTGTGCGATCGATGTGGTACACAGTGGCAATGAAAAAGGAAACCGATGCATGCCTGTCGAGCTGTCCCATTATGTACAAACGTGGAGGAGGAAAGAAGAGGTGGAAAAAAGAGAGAGGCGGCAAAAAAAGTGAGTGGGCGAGTGAGTGAGAGATAAAGAGAGAGAGAGTCTTTAAAGGCGTGTCAAAGCAACAAAATGGTGGCAGCCATTCCCCTCCGCACGCACTCCGTTCCATTATGGATACAGCTTCATTTGAATAAACGATTGTGCTCCAATGCATATAAATGATGGTGAATGGAAGATACATCTCTCAACATTGTGTGTATGAGGAACATCTATACCCTACTTCTCTCGAGTCAAAAGATTACTAAGCAAAAGCATGATCAATTATGGCATGGCAACGGTTGAACAACGTGTGGATACATAATATCGTGACCCTGCCTATAGCAGGAGACGTACTTTGCTCTTCAACAAAGATATCGCGCTTCTTGGAAATACTATCCACCACCATGTTGATGCTAGCGCGCTATGTTTATAGATGAAGATGCCATCGACTTTCCTTTAATAATGACTCAATTTGCTCATTTGAGTACAAGTGATCATTGTTTGATAATGAACGTTGCCACCTTGTTTATCTTAGATCCTGTTTTATGCATGGACAATCAAGCACACGAAGGCTCTTTGTGAAGGCGCTCCACCTACCAATTTATCAGCTCATCATCCATTTTATCACTCTTTCTTCCTATTTGCTATCACGAAAACACCCACGCCCACCATACAGATATAAACAAGAGAGATGTTGTCGCCTACATCGTAACGTACGCATATCTTTCTCCCTCATATTCTACACCCTCTATGTCTTTTCATAATGTCAAACTACCACTTGGTGTTGTTGGCTCCCTCTCTCATTCAAGCACATGTTGTTGTTGGTCCTCTCAATCAAGCACAGTCAAGCTCAACAAAGTCTTCTCCCTTTGATCCAAGGTCGAAGAACTCCATTAGTGAGCTATGCGCTCTGCCTATCATTGAAGTTGGTGTTCATGTGGATGATTGCCTAGGGGATGGGCAATGGAGTATTTGATATCCAATTGTTGGCACAACAAGGCCAAGTACAAGAACAGCAAACTGGAGGAGCTCAAGTTGATGTGAGTATGTCATGGTGGATAATCCTCTTTGTGAGCGATTCAAGTACTCATATTTGTCATGACCCTAGCTATCTTTATTATTCGACAGCGGTCATTGTCATTGTTGTCATAATGAAGTTTGGTTCTTTATCAAGGTAAAACCCAATCATCTAGCTGAACGAAGCACTACTCACAATTCTTTTTTTATATAGCTATCATCTGGGAGGCATCTACAAAGCTATGGTCTGTACAGCCCACATGGCGGTGATATAACGGGCGCCATCCACTGTGTGGTCAAACGCAACCCTCGAATGTCTCGGCCCTTCTTTCCTGACACCACACTCATGGCGACGATTTCGGCACCACATTACAAGAGGACACTCAATGCTTTCAAAGACTCAATGAAATGGCTCAGCAACGCTCTCATGCGATCGAATGCCAGTCGACTTGACAGGGCGGAGGCCATGTGGAAAATGCGTGATATTGCACTCTTGTTGTCAGTGCTAGGTGCATGCATTATCACAGTGGCCGACACTAGCCATTAAACGATCACATTGGCCGACACGAGGATGGCACATACAAAGCTTCATACATGGTCTGATGATTGGTCACACACGAGGTAAGCATAGTACTCTTGTATATTTCTATCGTGCTGATCCATGTTATAGAACTAGAGGATTTCGACCTACCTCAACAGCTACACCACGTGGAGTGGTTTTACAGGCATTTGGGACAGACATTTGTCCAAGTCATCCTCGATCGCAACCAAGGCAACAATCCTGTCTTCGTTCGTGAGTTGTGGGGCCAAGCCCTTCATCAAAGGCATTGTTTTCTCGTTCTAATCTTCGCATTCATAGGCTATAGCCTCTGCAAAAGGAAACGCTATGGTACAAACCGCAAGACTGTTTGGGTCGTTGCTTGGGAACGCGCTTTACGACAAAGATATCCGAGCTTTTGGACGTCCTACAGAAAGCCTTCCAAGGTAAGACTACAGAGTCAAGTTTATTGCATGAATTAACAACTTACAATAGCAAGAATGTGTAGAATGCATGTTACGGCATTATCAAGAGCAGGGATTTGTGAATCACATGCAACGCAAATACATAGTTTGTGCAAGGATCTTGCAAGCTTGGTGATTATAAGAGCAGACGAGGAGAATCATTTCAACAGAGATCAACTATCTTCAGCAATCCCTCAAGGTACCAATTCAAGGAAGGTGAGCCGGAAGTCAAAGGGTAGGTGCACAACGGCAAGATTCGATCAATGATAAATGCTCATAAGCAATATAGGGGTTCCACCCAAAAAAGCAAACCATTTCAATGGAGGTGGTTGGCCATGCACGTATCCCATCCAATTCCGATTCAAGAACAAGCCTTCCCTCTTGCAATTCATCAAACAGGAAAACCAAGCAAACAACTATCATATCATATCCAAACCCGGCATGGAAAGATCAACATTGGCAACACCAATCTTCCTTAAACCAAAAATCGCCATCGACCACGCTCTTTGTTATCCTAGCATCCATTTTAATACCAGCATTTCATTTCTTGTATCCCACATGTACATAAAATATTCAGCTTTGATATACATGATAATAAATGAGGTTGCTCAAAACATGCTTTATTAAGGTAATGAAGGTAAAGAGGATATCAATGCTAGTGATCAGCATTAAGCGATTGTTGGCGTACCAGCGCAGCATACTCAGCATCAAGTTTGAGCAATTCCCAATGAGTGCCCTTCTCAACAATGCGACCATTCTTGACAACACAGATCAAATCACTGCCTTGTATGGTACTCAATCTATGAGCAATTGTCAAAGTCGTGCGACCACCTTCGCTGATGATGTTATCAATGGCTTGTTGAACCAGTTTTTCGGATTCACTATCAAGTGCAGAGGTAGCTTCATCGAGCAACAACACCTTTGGTTTTCGGATCAATGCACGAGCAATGGCAATGCGTTGTTTTTGACCACCCGACAATTGGGATCCTTTATCACCGACACGCGTGTCATAGCCATCCGGAAGATCGATAATAAACTTATGAATGTTGGCAGCACGTGCTGCATCCTCGACTTCTTGTTGTGTAACTTGTTTGCCTTCATCCACACCAAATCGAATGTTTTCGCCGATAGTCATATCGAATAGCACAGGCTCTTGGCCAACCAAAGACATGTGGGATCGAAGGTTATGAAGGCTAAAGTTCTTGGTATTGTGCTCATCGAGTCGTACGACACCATCAACAGGATCATACCAACGTTGAAGCATACCAATGGCTGTTGATTTACCACAGCCTGAAGGACCCACCAAGGCAATGGTTTGGCCGGCTTTGCCCTCGAGATTAAAGTCACCATCAAAGATAGGGATATCAGGACGTGCTGGATAACGGAAGGTGATGTTTTCAAAGGAGAGGTCACCTGCAATCTTGCTGGTATCGGTTTCAATGCCTTCAAGATCAGGATCAATTTTGGATTGACGTTCAAGGATTTCGAATGTGGCAATGGCTGAGTTCTTGGCCTTGCCATAGGTTGAAGCGAAAACACTTGCACGACCAATACCATGTACCGTAATCATGACACTGAGCAAACTCACAAAGAGATCATCAAAGTCAATCAACCTTTGCTCAATGAATTTCATGCCTGCGTAAAATGCAGCAGCGCCCACGTAGAGAATGACACCTTGATTAAGAGCATAGCCAATGGATGATAAGTATGCTTTACGCTTGGCAAGACGATGGGGACGATTGGTGGCACGTCGATACTTGGATTCAAAATAGCCTTGTTTTCCAAGAGCAGCTACTGTACGGATTTCCTTGATGGCTTCACCAGCAACCTCACCACTGTACTCGTGTGCTTTAGCTGTTTCATCCTCAAAACCACGTTGAATCTTGGATTCATAAAAACTGGCACCCATGATGAAAGGAGAAAATGCCAATGTAATCAATGTGATACGCCAATCATATACAAATGCAATCACCAGACCTATATAAAAGAGCTAAGTATACGTGCGTTTTCATCACCCTACTCAATGTCGTACGTACCAGTAATTGCTGTAGCGATGATCTCAACTACGTCTCCAGCAACCTTGGTGACCAACTCGTTGACATTTTTAGAATCAAGGGCGAGTCTTGTTGTCAATGCACCAACGCTATGGTCATCTTCATCATAGTATCCGATCTCTTGCTTGAGGAAAGCTCTAAATACCATTGCACGTAATCGTTCAGTGTATCGTTCACCAGCCACTTCGAAGCAACCCATCTTTGCCGAGAAACCAATAAGAGCAACAATGGCGTAGATCATGAATAAAAAGGCCCACAAATTAGCTACATAATAAAAAAGGTACATATTAGATCAATGGTATCCATAGCGTATCCATGGCAACACTTGCCTCCTTCAAGAGGTCCTGGAGCAACATCTTCTGGTTTTGCTACCAAAGACCCAATAGCCCTTGCGATCGTGTATGCAAATGCTGGAAAAACGGCACCGGATAACACAGCTCCAAGGCATCCAACAAACATCATGGGCCATTCACTACGCATTTGACGTAGGATCTTGCCAATAGGAGCGTTCATCTTTTTACGTGCCTTCATTTCTTGCTTTTCACGTTGCAACTTGAGCTCGTAAGCATCAATGGATGTGGCGGTGCCAATGCGTACAAGATCCAATGATTGACGTTTTTCTTGATCGACTTGATTTTGCTTATTGATTTGCTTAAGAAGCTCGGCGTTCTCTTTACGCAACAGCTCTTCTTCATCTTCCTGTTCAGTGGAGCCTACTTGCTTGGTGGCAATTTCTTGCTTTCGTACTAGCTCAGCGTATACACCATTACGTTCCAATAATTCTTGGTGAGTGCCCTTTTCCACAAGGTCACCTTGATGCATCACACAGATGAGATCACAGTTACGGATGGTAGAGAGTCTGTGAGCGATTACAAAAGTGGTGCGATCTGCAGCAGCAGCGTCAAGAGCATGTTGTACGAGTCGTTCTGATTGCGTATCAAGGGCGGATGTTGCCTTTGTGTGATACAAGGATTGATGAGTTCATTGTTCCATGAAGAAAAGAAGCGATAATAGCTTACCTCGTCAAGCAACAAAATGCTAGGATTCTTGAGAATGGCACGTGCAATAGCCACACGTTGCTTTTGGCCACCAGAAAGCATACCGCCATGTTCACCAACCACTGTGTTGTAGCCGTCCGGAAGATTAGTGATGAAGGAATGGCAGTTGGCTTTTTGACAGGCACTAACAATATCCTTGTCGGACACCTCGTGATGCACACCGAGCAATAAATTTTGGCGAATGGTCATATTGAAGAGCACTGGCTCTTGGCTGACAACACCAATTTGCTTTCGGAGCCATGAAAGGTTGAGATCTTTAATGTTGTTGCCATCCAAAAGGATCTCGCCTGCAAGTGGATCGTAAAATCGTTGAAGCAATTGAATCGAAGTGGATTTTCCAGAACCTGAGGGACCCACAAAGGCCACTGACATGCCGGGCTTGATTGTCAAATCGAAATCCTTAAGCACAGGGATATCTATTGTACATAGTCCTTATAAGCAAATGATGGCAATGGATGGTAATTTGAACATGTATGTACCTGGCCGAGTAGGATACGCAAATTTGACATGGCGGAATTGTATTTCTCCAACAACCTTTTCAGGTTGTAGACCATCTTGAGAATCAGGATCAATATCGGGAATACGATCAATGGTTGAAAAGATCTTGTGAGCAGCACCACAAGCTGTTGAGATGGCAGAGAGTTGAACAGGAAGTTGTAATAAGGACATGGCACCAAGGAGCATACAAAAGTAGCTGACAAGAACCTACAATGGTGCATCAATGTTTAGCGGCACAGAGATCCACGTGGTTTAAAAAATTATGCACAACGTACCCTCCAGCCTTCAAGCTCATCACGAATAACAAGTTGGCCACCATACCAAAAGCAGATGGCGTACATGCCAAAGAGGACAAACAAGAAGCCACCAACACCAGCACCAAGAATGTAGCCACGTCGTACACCTGCTTCACGAGCTTTAACAAGTTTTTCTTGGTAGATGCGTGAAAAGCGTTCCTGCAGCGAGAACGAGTATACGGTTCGAATGCCATTGAAGGTTTGTTCAGCACAATGACCAGCTTCAGCATAAGCATCTTGTGCATTTTGAGTACTCTTTGATACAAAGTAACCCATTGCACCGCCCGAGCCAGCAAGCAATGGTAACAATGCCAATACAATCACAGCTTAAAAGAAAAATGAGTGCCATGATGGTTTTTACAACACGTGCATGTGAAATAAAGAGTACAATACCTAAGTTCCTATGAGAACCTGTTAGTTTTATCGTTCTTTTCTTGTTTCGGATCAAAGGGTTTCTTACCATCCCATGACAAAGGCGATTACAAAGCCTAACACGAATGCGGACAATGCACGAATCATAGAACCGAATTTTTCAGAGATGCTATATAAACAAGGGAATGAGATCAGAGGAATTCATGTCATAGTAATAAAAAAAGAATGCCTTACCCTTCTTGGATCAGCTGAGCATCGGTGGCGAGACGTGTGGTGAGCGAGCCTTCGGTAGCTTGGTCATACCAACCCATATCTTGACGCATTACAGCATGCACAAATTCGGTACGAATGCGTCGAGTTTGATTTTCACCGGTAATGACCCAAAGGCTGTTTGCAATGTAAGCCAATACAAGGATGATGGTACCCAAGTACACAAACACAAGCACAATGGGCTGGGTGGCGTCACTAACACTTTTTCCTTCATCCAGCGAATCCATCACTTGCTTGACGAATGCACCAAAGAAAGCAATACTGCATGGTTGAAGAAAGCCGACAATAATGGAGCAAATACAAGCAATGGCAATCATGAATCGATCGAGTGGCGTAGCAAATCGAAAAAGCTTATGCATTGGGATCGTCGGTTGCTTGACCTTTTTCTTTTTTCCATTGTTCGATAGTTGATGTACGGATGTTGTATCGTTGTTGTTGTTGTCTAGGGTCGATGAATGAATGGATGATCCTTTTTCTATATTGGTGGTGGTGGTTTGATGATGATGCACAGTCTCAGAAGACTGTGAGGTATTGCTGCTTGGCATGTTGCAAATGCTGTAGCCTCAGTTGGTGGCTACCACTATAGAACTTGATGATGGAATGCCGCTCAACTTTGAGTTGTTCTATCGGCGTGCCCTTAATATATAGAGGTTTTCAACATGTTACACAGCCGGCAAAACACCCTCCACATCGATAGTGCGCGGTTATCAGAGCTCCGCACACCGAGACCAAAAAAATGGCGATTGGGCATAATAAACGCATGATGGATCATTATCTTTTTATATAATAAGGTTGCATAGAAACTGGTTGTCATGGATACGTGGTTGTCATTGCTACCTGTGGGAATGCATGGATACAATTGATCTGGTGTAGTTTATTAGTAACCAGGGATTCGGCTACTTCTCCGCGCGTATTTGACAAAGGAAAAGCATTCGCCTGAGATCCAAACAAAGGTGTGCTCCTAATGAGGCAACCCCACAGGCCATGATGGATAGCTGCCGAATCCTAAGAAAAACCTAATTCAAAGCAGCCTTGGGTTCCTCATGCTGCTAATAGGGATGTGTCCATTTGTACATGGTAACTAGATAAGGCGTTTATGTCATGGCAACGTTTCGTGTAACTATATAACCCTATGCATATGCGGTAAAGAGCAAGTTTGGTCATTGACAAACATGCGTATCGAATCATGATACGATGTGGGGCAGTAGTAGCAGGGCTAGTTATGGGGGTTAATGAACAATTGCAAAGATAAGCGTGTGTCTTTTGAATCAAAAGCAATGTGCCTGATCAAATAATCAAGATCACAAGCGGATGCTACGGCTACGTGGCATACCTTTGTATGGCATCATCTACCATGTGCCATTTGGAAGCAGCGGGTACTTTTTTTTTAAAGTCGCGGTCGGTTAGTCGCCGAATCACCCCCGTTTTGGAAATGCAATCCATTCGGACGTTGATGCTGGCAAAGTAGACTATCGGGTGTATCTGAGTACTCGGTAACATGTAAAGAAAGCTTAAAGGTTGTAATAAGGCAAAATGCCATCCACTATAGGGCACATAGCCATGATGACGAATGTTATCAATATACCCACTTGACAACCATTACATAGACCTGTTTTTACGCTTCTCAGCCCATATTAGTGTTGCATTCAAGGAAGAAGAAACCCATCAGCTGACTGGCAGGCTGTGATTGTTCATTGTTTCCAGTGGGCAACCGATATTGCAACTCCTCTTGGTTACCTAATAAAACGCATGGCGGTGTATGTATGCACATAAAGTAAAATACGATTTGTGGATTGACGCTTCTGGGGCACATTCTACTCCTTTTTTTTCACGAAATGCGGCGCTTATCACAAAGAAATAGAGGTCTGATGACCCATGCAGCAATAAACAATCAGCAATCACCTTGTACACGAGGTCAGTATAGACAATGAATATAGTATTGGGATGATGATAGCAATTAACATAATCATAATGAATGCTGTACAAGGAGATGGTACTATGTAAGAACAAAGAGAGTTGCATCCAAGGATGTGGTGGTGGTGGGTGAGTTGCGCAGCTAGCTAAAGCGGGGGAAAAGGAAAGCATAAAATGTCGCTCTTTATAATACTGTAATTTGACTGGAAAGATCCGATCCTGGTGTAGGTCACATGGTCAAAGTAAAACATTCTCTTTTGTTCCAAAGATAAACCCATTTACTGTATCAATCAATGAAAGGACTAATGATATGGGTGGATAGCTTCTAGTGTAAGGTATAAGATGTACCATCCCAATGAGCATGTGTAGTAAGAGTAAGAGTAGTAATAATAGTTGAGGAGGTAGTGGGTGGTGGCGGGCGGTGGTTATTTTCTGCTCATGTGATGTGGCCATGTGATGTGCAAATGCTTTCTTGTTTCTTCTTTCTCCCTCCTTGTATCCTTTCTTTCTTTACTATGTATTGAAACGATAAAGAAACATTCTACGACATGAACCCTGCCGAAAGACAGTACGAGCAGCAGGCGACCCATCGCATCAATTCCCAACGATTCGGTTCAGGGACTCTCGACAATAGCCATTTCAACATGTTGACCACCACCACCACCACCACCCCTACTTCCGATTCAGCAACAGCTACAGCCACTGCCAAGCGCCCTCGTCTTGAAAGTGATTACCAACGACCCCCATTCTCATTGCCTGCCCGATTGCAACGTGTAAGAACGAGTCCTCCTCAAGCTCTCAGTAGAAAAGATAAACTGATCTGGTGTATTGTTTATATAGGCTGCATTCCGCGATCCGCTCACCATGTCCACTGTACGCCAACCTCGTTCACTCTCAGGTCAAAGCATGGCACGATCGCAGTCGGTGACCCAGTTTTCAACGTTTGAGAGTGGCGAACAGCAACAACAACAGCAACAACAACAAGAGGATATGGCAGTTGACGAGAATGTGTGCATTGGCATGATCAAGACCGATATTGTTACAGTGAGAGTGATCGATTTGGTCAAGGATGATCATTATGAACCGGTCAATGTCATATCTGAAGGGAAACGTGATCATGTCAATTACTGTGAGTACATACAAGAATGGGTATGTGTGTGTGTGAAGGACAATAGATTGACAGGTGAATTATAAATAATAGCCTTTACGGTAACATCTCGTGGTACAACGCGGAAATTTGTAAGTGCATACTTTTTACATGGGAAGAATTCAATACTTACCTTGAGCAATATAGTTTGGTTGGGTCCCTTTTGAAGATACCAAGATCCTGGGGCCTCTTGTCGATCACAAGCTGATCTGGTGGGATGCTGTTATTCCTCGCAACAAGGCCAATCATGCACGCACGCCACTTTACATTATTCTTTATTGTCAACCACGTCACACGGAGTGGGTCTTCAGGATGTTCGAAGCTCATCGTGCCTCCTTGTTCGATCCACCTTTCTTCAATCCAGCATGTCGATACCATAATCCATTCTCCAACAAATCATCAGCATCTATCTCATCATCTTCATTCTCATCTACTGGTACTCCTGCTAGTACTTCTATGGATACGCTTGAGCAGACACGACGTGACATTGCCCAGCTTCTTGACAGCATCCCAGCTAATGATGACGACTCAAACAACCAGCAACCACATGAACAACAAGAACAGCAACAGCAACAACAGCAGCTTACTTCTCAAGACAACAACCAAGAGAACAACAACATGATAGATGGTCTTTTGGTACCCTTACTACCGCATCAGCATCGTGGCGTCAAGTGGATGTTAGACCGAGAAAACAATGAAAGCAGCTCGGGTGGTATATTGGCAGATGTAAGTGGTGATGCATGGATACAAAAACAAGCCATGTTTACTAATATGATATCATACTTAGGATGTAAGTGGATATCAAGTTATATGGGATCAAGGTGATTTATAGGTGATGATGATGATAGATGGGACTGGGTAAGACAATCCAAACGATTGCATTGATGGCGTCAACAATGGCACAACATGAATCCGAAGCTCGGCGTAGCACTTTGATCGTTACACCACTTGCTCTTATTCAACAATGGGCAAATGAAATTCGCACCAAGACTCAACCTGGCAAATTGAAAGTGCTTGTATACCATGGTTCCAATCGAAGCAAAGGTAACTTTTATTATTAATCAAAAGGGGACATTGGTTAACATGCATGAAATATAGATCCTGCTACGTTTGCCAATTATGATGTGGTGGTGACAACATATCAAGTGGTGGCTTCAGATATGCCAAATACATCCAAAAGAGGCCGACGACGTCAACAAGGAGAAGAAGAGTCAAGTGAAGGATTATCATCGGCAGCAGCTACACCTACACCCGATGATAGTGTCAGCCCATCCAGCAGTGCACCCAATTCACCAAGCCCAGCTTCGCCATCCATAGAGTCTTATGGTCCTTTGTTTCAAATAGAGTGGCACCGCGTAGTACTTGGTAAGCTATTTTTTCGGCTTTGTTATCTACCAAATATTAACGAATGGTCTTTTAGATGAAGCTCAACAGATCAAGAATAAGAATACTCGTTCGGCCATCTCTTGTTCAGAATTGCGATCTCGAAAACGATGGTGCTTGACAGGGACACCCATGCAGAATCATGTGGATGAACTTTACAGCCTCTTGCGCTTTTTACGTATTCCGCCCCTCGACAATTATCAAACATTCAAAAAGACCGTCTCGGTGCCTATTCAGATGGGACAAGGAGAGCTTGCCTTTGAACGTCTCAAAGTGGTGTTGATGGCTGTCATGTTGCGACGTACCAAGAAAATTCTTCACACAAGCAATGCAGAATCATCATCATCATCATCATCGTCATCGACAAACCACGTGTCAGGGTCACCGGGGAGCTCGCACGAGGCGCTTTCACTTCAGCTACCATCTCGTGACAAGAAGGATGTTGTTTTGGATTTCAGCAAGAGCGAGCGTGTTCTTTACGAGTTGTTGAGTGCCAAGACCAAGTCGACCGTGGAACAATTATTTCGTGCTGGCAAGGGCGAACGCAACTATCTCAACATGTTATGCATGCTACTAAGACTCCGCCAAGCATGTGATCATCCCCAATTGGTATTACGATCCATTCGAGCTGATCAGGATGCATTGGATCTCGCTACGGGTGGTAACAACAACACCAACACCAACAATAATAGAAAAGAATTCAGCGAAGCTGCAGTACAACGAGCACTTTTGGCCAAAATGGCCATTGATCTCGGCTGGCAATCCTCCAATACCACGGCCATGGCAAGCTTGGGTCTAGATTCGTCATCATCCTCTTCATCCTCATCATCCCCGGCAAATCTATGTGAACTATGTGGAGGGTAAGTTTATACACCTTCATGCGTTTTTATTCCATTCCATGTGTATTCATTTCTATTTACATAGACCATTAGCCAATGCGGATGGATCATTTTGCGCTCCATGTCAATCCCAAATAGAGCAGTGCACTGAAGGATCCTTGCCAACGACAAGTACCAAGATTAACAAGATGCTTGACATTCTCGACGAGACACGAAGGAATCATCCAAAGGAAAAGACCATTATTTTCTCACAGTTTACTTCCATGTTGGATTTGATGGAAGATCCATTACGTCGATCAGGTTTCAAATATTGTCGGTGTAAGTATCTTGGATGGCAAGGATCATCTGGTTGAATAATACTCATGTTGTTGTCATTTCTCAGATGATGGATCCATGTCTAACCATTTGCGGGAAAAGAGTCTGGAGGCATTAAGGAATGATCCCGAATGTACTGTCATGTTGATTTCATTGAAGTGTGGTTCATTGGGGTAAGATGCGAGATCTGAAACCAATCCATGTTGCTGTATATTGACATTCTTGCCATGTTTATTAGTCTTAATCTCACAGCGGCCAATCATGTGATCCTAATGGATATCTGGTGGAATCCTGCAGTAGAAGGTATGCATGGCTTCTCTGCTGAAAGTTCTATGGAAGGCTGTTGAGCTAATATGGGGGATCATGATGATGACAATAGAGCAAGCCATTGATCGAGTGCACAGAATCGGTCAACGTCTTCCCGTCCACGTTGTGCGACTCGTCATGGATCGTACAATCGAGCAAAAGATTATCCAGCTTCAACAGAAAAAGGTAAAAAAAACACACACACACACACAAGCAAGCCGTTGTACTTTTGGAAAGGATAAACTGATTGACCTCTTCTTTTCTCCCGCATATTGCAGGCTCAAATGGTACAAGGTGCACTTGGTGATGGTGTGATCAAGAATACCAAGCTCACGATGAAAGAAATCCGGACACTCTTTGATTTGTAAAAAAGTAAATCAGCGGTTGGATATTCATTGTCATAGACCAACAATAGTGGTAGTGATAGTGTACATGATCAAGTAAAAGGGTGCATTGTGTTGGCTTGCAAGGGTACCTTTCCATTGACAGCTTCCATTGTGTAACATTCTATGTGGAATCTTCTTGGTGTGGGCGAGCGACTGATGGGAGATCAGTTGAGCATTATGCAAGAGAAACAGAGGAATGGACATGGGGAGTGTCAATAAATCATAACAAAGCTATGGATGGTTAAGCCATGCATATGGAACAACATGTGAAGCATGGGTGACGTCTTGGAATGTTGTTTGTTTGTTGGGGCAAATGTGCTTTAATGTTTTCTTTTATTGACAAAAGAGATAATAGCAAGAGCCAAAAAATGTGTGGTGTGCTCCAGTGTCGATCGTTGTTTAAAGGCCAACGTGTAAACGAGTATACTGGAAATGACAGAAAATGTCGACGTGAGCTTGTGCTTTATACCTTGACCTTGAAAAGGCATCTATCGATCTTTCAGGTATCGTTGAAAAGAAGAGTCAAATAGAAACAATCCGTGCTCTCTTGTGTAACAATATCGGATGACGAACGAGTGAGATGCACGGTGCGTGTGTATTGTGCGGATCCTCTTTTTATCTCCCACCACCCCCAAAACCAACCCACCCCCACAAAACTAATTTTACACGCCACAGTCTGGTACGCGGGGTGCAAAGCGGTGGATAAGAAAAAGAAACAAATTTCCAGGTTGGGGAAGAGGTGGATGGGTAGCTTGGAGAGGAGTGAGAGGAACAAAGAACATGTCGCTCATTCTATTTGTCAATTAATATCCACAACAAAGCACACATCTTTCTGGAGTTTCCCTGGGACTACTTAAAAAAATGACCGCATGTTGTGTCCCACATGATGAGCTAGAGTACATATAAAAGCCCCTTTTCTTAATGTTGCTTTCTCCTTCCTTACTCGGTGATTCCATCAGCCACTGCTAATACTACCAGCATAAAGAGCACACACATATTACATTTACGTAAATACATATATACATTGCATATACCTATGGACCATGAGCAGCAGCAGCGACAAAGAAAAACTACAAGCACCATCATCACATCAAGAGCGATCTGAAAGTATCACGGCGGCTAGCAACAACACGTCAATCGGGATCGACTTACTCACCCCACACGTCGATCCATCCAACCCCTTTGCATTCACCGCCACTCAGTTGTCCGCACTTGTGGATCCCAAGAACTTACATTTGTTATCTCAATACGGTGGTCTCGATGGAGTAGCACGTGGCTTACATGCACATACGCATAATGGTCTTTGCCCAGATGACACTATCACCACTGCTGTTGCCATGGATACGGATGCAACAAAACCATTTCAATCTTCCACAAACACAAACACCATGGCATGCCGTACCGTAGTCTTTGGTAACAACACTTTACCCGAGACAAAGTCTAAGAATATCTTTCAACTCATGCTATTGGCTTTTCGTGACAAGACATTGGTAAAAATAGACCGATAGATTTATTATTCATTCAACCATGATTTTCTTATACTTTTGTCTCTATTTACAGATCCTTTTAGCTATTGCCTCGGTGGTATCATTAGCAGTTGGCATTTATGAAACGGTGGCGGTGCCCGAATATGATTCACAAGGAAACCGAATCCCCGGAGTTAAATGGGTTGAAGGTGTAGCTATCATCGTTGCTATCATCATTGTTGTTCTTGCTGGAAGTATCAATGACTTTCAAAAGGATAAACAATTCCGCAAATTGAATGCCAAAAAGGAAGATCGACTTGTCAAGGTATACATAATAATGCCAATGAATGGTGTATTATTGGTGGGATGCTCATCTTTTGTCACATGTTGTTAGGCTACACGAAATGGCTGCATTGAAATGATTTCAATTCACGACGTTCAGGTCGGTGACGTCTTGCACTTGGAACCTGGTGAAGTGGTGGCTGCCGATGGTATCTTTATCGAAGGACACAATGTCAAATGCGACGAATCGGCTGCAACGGGAGAATCAGATGCTGTACGCAAGCAGGATTGGCGATTGTGCGCTGAATTGGCAGCCAAGCAACAACAAGATCACCACACGTCGACACCCGATCCCTTCCTTATTTCCGGTTCCAAGGTTCTTGAAGGTGTTGGCACGTATCTAGTCACCAGCATTGGCGTCAATTCATACAATGGACGTACCATGATGGCCCTACGCACTGAGGATGAGATGACACCCTTGCAAGTCAAGCTTAACGGCCTTGCTGAAATGATTGCAAAGTTGGGTTCTATCGCTGCCGGATTGATGCTTGTGGCCTTGTTGATTCGATACTTTGTTGGTTTCCGATATGGCGTTCCCACCGATAAGACTCAAATCGTTGGCGACGTGATGAGTATCCTGATCTTGGTTGTCACTGTCATTGTGGTTGCTGTTCCTGAAGGATTACCCTTGGCTGTAACATTGGGTATGTATGCATGCACATGGATTGAATGATTAGAGAAGATGACTAAACAAGCATTCATTAGCTCTCGCTTACGCCACTCAACGTATGCTCAAGGATAACAACTTGGTCCGTGTGCTTGCATCCTGTGAAACAATGGGCAACGCTACCACGGTGTGTTCTGACAAGACTGGCACATTGACACAAAACAAGATGACCGTTGTGGCAGGCACATTCAGCTCATCCTTTTTCCGCTTCCGTCGTGGTGCATCCAGTGATACTGAAAGTGAACGTGGCGGCACGCATGATATTGATCAAATCCCTCAAGCTGCTGAGCTCATCCATATTCTCAACGAGGGTATCGCTGTCAATTCAACAGCATTCCAAGGCAAAGATGAATCGGGTCAACCAGCTATTGTGGGCAACAAGACCGAGACAGCCATGCTCAACTTTGCAGCAGAGATTGGCAGCAAATCATTCGAGAATGTACGACAACAACATCCGGTGGAACAAGTTTATCCATTCAGCTCTGAACGCAAGGCCATGGCAACAGTCATTTGTTTATCACCTGGTGAATTGTATCGTATGCATGTCAAGGGTGCATCAGAAATCATTGTCGGCTTATGCTCAAGTATCCTCACTATGGATGGCAAACGTCAAGAGATGACCAAGGATGATCGCGCTCACATTGATCACATGATTCAATCTTATGCAAGCAATAGTCTTCGTACAATTGCAGTGGCGTATCGTGATTATCAACACCAATGGACTACCGCTGCTCAAGGAGAAGAAACACCATATGAGGATCTTATCGCCGACAATGGATTGACTTTGATTGGTATCATTGGTATTGAAGATCCCTTACGTCCACGTGTCAAGGAAGCCGTCAAGACATGTCAACAAGCTGGCGTTTTTGTACGTATGGTGACTGGTGATAATGTCATGACCGCCAAGAGTATTGCAAAGCAATGTGGCATTTATACAACGGGTGGTGTCGTTATGGAAGGTCCCATCTTCAGGAATCTTTCACCCTATGAGATGGATGCTGTTATTCCCCGGCTACAAGTATTGGCTCGTTCAAGTCCTGAAGATAAACGTATTCTGGTTGAGAGGCTCAAGTTGCTTGGTGAAACAGTGGCTGTTACGGGTGATGGTACCAATGATGCTCCAGCATTGAAGTTGGCAGATGTGGGTTTCTCTATGGGTGTTGCCGGTACTGAGGTGGCCAAGGAAGCATCATCAATCATTCTTATGGACGACAACTTTGAGAGTATTGTTAAAGCCATCATGTGGGGTCGCTGCGTCAATGATGCCGTACGAAAGTTTTTGCAATTTCAATTGACGGTCAACATCACAGCTGTGATCCTTACCTTTATCTCGGGTGTTGCCAGTGAAAGCCAAAAATCAGTGTTGACTGCTGTACAACTCTTATGGGTCAATCTCATCATGGATACGCTCGCAGCTCTCGCCTTGGCAACCGATCCACCGACAGAAGAACTTTTACAACGCAATCCAACACCCAAATCAGCACCTTTGATTTCTCTCAAGATGTGGAAAATGATCATTGGCCAAGCAATCTTCCAAGTGGTTGTCACCTTTGTACTCCTCTACGGTGGTATCTTGGATTACTCACCCGAAGATCCAGCACTTCAAACCATTGTCTTCAACACCTTTGTGTTTTGCCAGATCTTTAATGAAATCAAGTAAGTTATATCGATGATATCATTGCACTGAATGTATCAACTAATGCAATCATTTACAATAGCTGCCGACGCATTGACAGTAGCTTCAACATCTTTACGAACATCCATCGCAACCAATTCTTTATCTTTGTATTCTTCCTCTGCGTTTGTCTACAAGCCATTATCGTCAACTTTGGTGGCGTCGCTTTCCAAGTCACTCCCATCGATGGTCCATCTTGGGCACTTTCTATCGTCGTTGGCCTCTTTGCCATTCCTGTTGGTGCACTCATTCGACTGATCCCAGATAAGGCCTTTGGATTTATTTTCTTCAAGCCTGCTACTCGACAACGTTACCTTGGAGAAAGCTATGTACCATCAAGCCCTGTCAATCCTTCAATTTACTTGGCTGGCAACGACACTTATGATCGCGTGCAGGATGGTGTCATGGAATTCAAAAAGGGTTCACGACGTGAAAGTGCTACTGCATCCATTGTTATTCCAAGCATCGTGGCTGCCTCACCATCCACAGGAGCGGCTGTACTCGCATCACCACCACCAGCAGTAACCAAAGAACATTAATACTCAGCACTAGACAACTTTCGTTATTTTGTATAGCATTTCACTCTTTTCATATGTACCATACCCTTTTATTTGCTTTTCATCTGATATTGTATCCATATGCAACGTTGTATGATTCTTACTTGCATAAACTTGCTACTTTACCAAACCATTGTGTCCATTTTCTGTGCTCACCCTTATCAAGGATTCAACGTTGGGAAATGGTGGTGATGATACTACGCGCATTTGTATTGCCAGAAGGAAATTTGATGACAAACAACACCGTTTTCACTCTCATCATTTCACACAATGTACTTTCGTGTATACAATGATCATCCTTGGCCTACTAATAATACATGCTTAACTTGAAGACACTCCATGCAGCTATCACAGGCTGACCTTCGTACCTTCTATCATGCACTCTCCACCAATACGATTGCCGTCCTCTAGACTTTTTGTTACACAAACGAGACCCTCTGCATCTTAGGATGATAGGTGACGCAGCATGGTGCATTGAAAGTAGTTCTCAGGCTCAGAATAGTCCTGAAGTCACTGTGATGAATTGGTACAAGTACCGATTAATGTACCGTGTTCATGACGATGACCTTCAACGCAATGATCTGCATCGTTCTGGAAAATTATTTCAGCACATTGTAGGCATGATGTATGCGACAATGGAATCATGTCGCCTTTCCTACGTAAAGTTAAACCAGCTATTATATACAGCATAAAGCACACTTGCATGTAAGCTTTAACAGGTAAGATTGAAGATAAGCCATTCAACGAAAAATCGATATTTACGAGCAAAGCGAGTAACCCATGGCCTCGTTATAGTTTATTAAGCTAATATTATATTTCGCCTTTCAATTTCAGTAACAAGTTCTCTAGCATCTCCCTAACAGGATTGGGCTTTTCAGTATCTTCAGGATCCAGGGGTTGACAGTCGTCGGCGGGGTCGCAAAACATAAGGACCCATCTACCATCGGAATAGCATTTGTAACGGTAGTCTCGTACTGGCGTATCCTTATATGTCTTCGAGGCAACTTTACAATCTTTCTTGGACCTATTAACGTCGGTTTTTTCTACCCTTTCGTAGCCACAGTTGTAGAAAACATCGTTGCCTTGTTGATCAGGATACACTGCATAAATATTGTAATATGATCCGAGCGTGGTCTCTGGGTTGCTTGGTCCTTCTTTCTCTTTACAATATTTCAGGGCTTCATCCTTCGAGTTGACTAGGTGAAGTTGAGCAACAACAGGGTGTGCAACAAATCCAGCCATAATGGTAGCAAAGAACAACAGTAATGCTGATGAGATACAGCGTCCTTGATGCATTGTGTAGTACTGTAATAAAAGAATATGAGAGTAAATGGGCTAAACGACGTATGGGTGTATTTATATTTGTATTGTTGGCTAATCTGTCACGCCATCGTCATCAACAGGAGTGGTATTGAGTGACGATAGGAATTCCCCCTGCATGATGTGGGCGATAAATCGAGATAGTACATTAGCAATACCAGCAAGTCAACAACATCCTGCACAATACCACTCCTTATGCAGCATGCATATGCTTTTACATCACCGACCCAAAGAACACCCCTTGGCTGACATGCATTAGCGTATTTCCAATATATGTCTAATAGCATCAAATATAGGGGTAACTGGAGTATAGTATGTAGCAGTAATGATCTCCGCCACATACCGCTACGCAGTCAAAGGCCCATATGCACAGAATGTGGAAGCATGAAAAGTGCATGGTACATGTTGACGCCATTTTTCTTTCGGGTATGTGGCATGGAACAACTTTATGTATGAAGCAATGCAGCGATGGGAAGGAGAGGTGATAAAAGTGATATACTACATGAAGGATGCAGATACTTTTTCAAAGAGGATGAGACGTCCACTAATCGTGAAGGTGCAATATATGAAAAACGATGCTTATAGGCGCAACATGAGTAGGGCATTATTGTTGAAAGGGGTGACGGTGATGATGCTAAAAGGATGTGTGTATTGTATGTAGCTTCCCGAGGAAACCTAAATTTCCAGCTCTTCCTTGTCTCTTTCTTCCATTCGCAACCGTTGCCCCATTCAACTACAACTACAAACTGCGAACGATTGTCCTGTTTCGACCCATCATGTCCATTCTATGGTTGCCTGGATCCGATTGTCTTTGACTGAAGGGTAACTCCATGGCGTGTGCACCCCATTACTGCCTACTGGACACTGGACCTCCCCTTGTACAATCCTCGGCCACAACCAAACCTAGCAGCATTCCTTCCAGCAGTTGTTATTCCTTCCATTGTCTCAAATAGCTTTCACAAGCATGGCACCCCACTACAATACACGCTCTCGCACTATCCTCTGCCACAGCCCAATGTATCAGCAGATACTACTATTAAGCAAACCTTATTCCATTGTCTCAGCTGGTTGCAGTAACGAGTCTTTCAGCCTTTTCGCGTCAAAAGCATATAGCCATAGTATAGAAGCAGCTTTATATACGTATAGCAACTCACTCCAATACATACGATTTCTTATGGCATATGGATATGGATATTTCGTTGGTGCATGGGGGAATGGAAGGACCTGAACGTATACAACATGTGGGAAGAGACCCTTGTTCTTATGTATTCTTGTCGACTTGGCTGTGACGTTATCACCCTGGACGATTGGTGCAATCAGCTACAGTATTGTACTTTTTCATGAGAGTTAATATCATCATCCTTGTGGAACCTGCCAAGCATGTACAACGATCATCGTCCGACTGCATATTTGACACCCAATGCTATCACAACAATGACAATGATGATAACGACAACGAGATTCAAAAAGAAACTTGCAAGATCACAGTCTTTTCTACTTCGTGTGCTTTTTGGATATTGGGGGTGACGAGGAAATTGACGACTGGTGACGAGTACGAGTACGAATGATGATGGAGGACGAAGACGAGGATGGCAGCAAGATAGCTAGATGAAATAAAGTATTGTTTATTTATTACGCACTTGCAGTTTGCTAGCTTGTGGATTACATACTATTGCTTCGAAGATGGAATACATAATAATAAAGGTGGTTCGGTTATCGGTCATGCAAGAAGTATATGGCGTTTGTGATACAGGAGGAGTGGGATGAGCTTGAGAAGAGAAAAAGTGAAGTGATCTCTCCATTGAATTGATTACTGGTGGGTTTACATATACAAATTGGTTTATGCGAGTCGACCTTCTACTTATTACATTCTCGTCAAGATTGCTTCCATTTATGTAGCGGTGTGTCATATATTCGAAATGCGTAAATGTATCAGGTTGCATCAATTACGAAACGTTTATTGAGGCGACGTTGCTAATTCAGCTCCATTCAACGTTTCCCAATGGTTTTTGTTTGTTGACAAGGATTAATTGGTTTGTGTACCGAAAAAGCTGTTAATTCCATCCACCAACTTCTGTTTGGAGCCATGGTAATAGATTAATGCGCGACGTAAGATCTTGCGCAGCTTTTCTCGCGTGTTGTTATACGATTCAGAAGCCTCCTGTAGACTCTCGAAAACATCATCAGACCTGAATTGTCGCCCAACCAAAGTACGAAGAAGCTCTGGATGCTTCTGTAGATACTCCTCAAGCTCTAGAGGTATACAAAATAGACGATCTTCTCCTTGGACGCATTTTACAAAAGCCCATCTACCATCCCAAAGGCATTCGTAACGTAAGTTTGGGTCTGGGGTATCCTTGTATTTCATCGAGGCCTTTTTACAATCTTTCTTGGACCTATTAATGCCGGTTTCTTCTACTCTTTCATAGCCACAATTGTAGAAAACATCGTTCCCTTGTTGATCAGGATACACTACACCATGGGTGTACTTGGCTTGTTGAGAGATTTCACCTTCGATCATCGGTTTAATGTTGTTGCAGTAGGCCAGGGCTTCCTCCTTCGATTTGGATACGTGAGTTTCGGCAGCAACTACAGGCGGTGCAACAAATCCAACCATGATGGAAGCAAAGAGCAACAGTAAAGCCGATGAGGAATAGCGTCCTTGATGCATTTTATATTACTGTGAAAGAAGAATGGGTGAAGAAATGTGTCAGACGACGACGTATGGGCGTATTTATATTGTATTAGTGGCTACTTTATCACGCCATCGTCATCAACAGGAGTAGTATTGAATGACGATAGGTGTTCCACCTGCACGATGTGGGGGTAAATCGAGGTAGTACCTTGGCAATACCGGTAAGTCAACAACATCCTGCACAATACCACTCCTCATGCAGCATGCATATGCTTTTGCACCATCGACCCAAAGAACACCCCTTGGCTGACATGCATTAGCGTATTTCTAATATGCGTCGATAGCATCAAATAAAGGGGTAACTGGAGTATATTATGTAGCAGCAATGATCTCCGCCACATACCGCCACACAGTCAAAGGCACATATGCACAGAATGTGAAAGCACGAAAAATTGCATGGTACATGTTGACGCCATTTTTCTTTCGGGTATGTGGCATGGAACAACTTTATGTATGAAGCAATGCAGCGATGGGAAGGAGAGGTGATAAAAGTGATATACTACATGAAGGATGCAGATACTTTTTCAAAGAGGATGAGACGTCCACTAATCGTGAAGGTGCAATATATGAAAAACGATGCTTATAGGCGCAACATGAGTAGGGCATTTATTGTTGAAAGGAGTAACGATGATGATGTTAAAAGGATGCGTGTAATGCATAAATTTCCAGCTCGTCCTTGTCTCTTTCTTCCATTCTCAACTGTTGGCCCCATTCAAGTATACAACTACAAGCTGCGAACGATTGCCCTGTTTCGACCCATCATGTCCATTCTATAGTTGTCTGGATCCGATCGTCTTTGACTGAAGAGCAAATCCATGGCGTGTGCACCCCATTACATTCCTGGACACTGGACCTCCCCTTGCACAATCCTCTGCCACAGCCAAACCTAGCTGCATTCCTTCCAGCAGTTGCTACTGGTATCCTCTTTACTCCATTGGCTCAAGCAGCATTTACAACCTTGTCACTCTCCTACAACACACGCTCTTGCACACCTCCACCACGACCAAACGTAACAGCAGTTGCTATTCCATTGTATTAAGTTACTCGTAGCAACCTTTCTTGGAGCCTTCTTTGCGTGAACAGCAGATAGCCGTTGTATAGCAGCAACTTTATTTACGTCTAGCAACTTGCTTCAATACACACGAGTCGGTTTGGATGATTCTATATCAGCTATCATATACACCACAATACAAGCACTTTTCACCTGGTTATCCTACCACGAAAATGACCAAGAAAGAATTGACCAACAGCCGGATGGAAAAGGAAACGATGGCATGGTTCTTTTAACGAGCATATTGGACTTGCAATGGCTATGATGGATGGACGGATTCAAGTGCTGTGGAATGTTGCTTTGGTTACTTGGTACGTCGTCAGCAGGCAGGATGGATCGTGTCACATGGATACGGATGAGGATGATGATGGATTGGATGGCATGGACGAAAGGCGTTTTACAGCCACGCATGGCATTGGAATACTCAAGTCAATGCAATCATGGATGAAGGATATGTATGACTGCAGCAGCAACCAAGAATACAATGACACCATTATCCCTAGTACCCATTATGTGATACACCCATACCTTGTTCAATTTACAATACTGTTCCTTTATCATACTTACTTGATAAACATCCACACTACCATATGCTATTCTTCAACTCTTTCAATCAATGAAAATTGGATTCAACATAATGTTTAGAAGGGTATCGCACTATCAGCTCATATGTTTAAAATGTGGATCGCTTGGTTGGTTTCCGGATTGAAAAGGGGGAAAACAGAGATTGAAGGTTGGAAAGCGAGATTGGTTCATTCAGATCATCGTATTGAGATGCTTTTTTTCTTTTCTCACAACATTCGATACATAAGTCCAAATCAGCTTCTGAGATAAGCAAGATGGCATCCATAATGGGACTTCATCAACAATGACATCCGTCGGCTATGGTGACGAACCACTTGCCGTATCCAAATCGGGTGAAGACGCTGTTCAGGGAGCATTCTACTACTATAGTATTCATATGCAAGTTTTGGTTATTTAAATAAACATGTTACTTGACAACTCATTGTGTATCAAATAGTCACATTCATCCATTTTCCATTATGGTGAGCAATACTTGTTGAGGAAATTTTCACACACAAAAGAGGCATTTTGTATGGCGGATGTGGTACACGGCCTCAAAGAACATGGCTGCTACCATAACTAGGGTGGGTACATATTCCAAATCATCGGAAAAAGGATGCCATATCCCGGGGAACAATGACTTACGCAAGAACACCATTGACCCCATGTGCCACATTGTGTTCCAGAAAAGGACATGTGCACCTGGATCAAAAGAAGGGCAGATTTTAAGGTTCCATGCGCCGCTCAAATCACATTCATGCAGAATGCATGCATTCGCGACATGTGGGAAGGGGATCAAGATCACTTTAGCTATTCTATGATCAACCAAAAAGTTAATTTCAGATAGCCTCCACATGGGTTGAATAGATCCAATTTGAATTGAGGACCATGCTCTGGGACACCTTTGTACCTTGTGTACCACGAACATTGACGAATTTGTCGTGAGGAGATATGGGTGAACCTTACAGCCGAAAGGTAAAACAGTGATTCCTTAATCACATACACACACGCACACACACACAAACACCTGGCATGACCACTTGGAAGTACAGAGCGGGGTAGGCGCCGAGTGTTGAAAAATTGCAACGTGATGTGCGTGGATAACACACATCAACCCGTTCATTGGTTGGGTAAATCCAAGGACCGGTTTGCCCGTATAAAAAAGTTACCCACAGTAACAATTCCTTGATCTGCTGTTGTCGTTGTCTACTTGTGTATTCCTTTTACCTTTATATTGAAGCATGGCTGGATCTGAAGCATCATCAGAATCATCCAACACGGTGCGCGAGATCAAGGAAAAAGCAGCAACACCTTCTTCTCACCAACAACATGCCCCTTTAGCCGAACGTGATACCCCACAAACGATCGTCGCTGCTGAAACCATACCAACACAGCTTGATGAAAAAAAGTCAGATCATACCTCATTGTCTAATGATGATGATGATGAAAAGGAGGAGAAAACAAGGAAAGGAAAAAAGAAAAAGAAAAAAGAGCCAGCTATACCTATCCATCGCCTATTTCGATTTGCAACAAAGCTCGAGTTGCTGATGATTGGGACTGCTGCATTCTTTTCACTTGGTGTCGGTGCCATGCATCCATTGGTGATTGTCTTTTTTGGCGAATTTATGGCCGATGCCGGAGCTGCTTTTCAAGACATCATGCAAGGAAAAGGCAGTGTACTGGATGCAACCCACGATCTGATCCTCATTTTCGTATACCTTGGTACAGCTCAATTGGTGGCAGCTTATATATCCCAATCTTTTTGGATCATGACAGGAGAAAATCAGACACGACGATTGAGACGTTATTACGTTCATGCTATTTTACGTCAAGACTTGGGTTGGTTTGACATGGCTGAAGAAGGATCACTCACAACACGCCTTGCCGCTGATACACAGCTCATTCAAGATGGGTGAGTTGTAATGAATTCCTACACAAGAGATGATACCTATGGTCTCATACCCCATTTTTTATGTAGAATCTCTGAAAAATTTGGCTTGTTCCTCATGTGCATCGGTGCATTCGTATCTGGGTTTATCATTGCATTTGTCAAAGGCTGGAACTTGGTAATGTTAGCAAGCCATTGTCGACATGTACCTCTTGCTCATCATACAAACATATACTTAGGCGGTCATTATCCTTGCCACCCTCCCCGTACTTGGTGCTGTGGGTGGTGCTTTAGGCTGGGCTATTACCAAATTTACACTCAACGTCCAAGATGCATATGCTGATGCAGGTAGCATTGTCGAGCAAGCAGTATCAGGATTACGCACAGTGTATGCATTTACGCTTCAAGAACGATTTGCACAGCTTTATGAAAAGGCATTGGTTAAAGCTCGTATTGCTGGTATACGTCGAGGTGTCTTTTTAGGAGGTAAGCAATCAACCCATTTTATTGTTATGTACTTCATGCTAACAACATCTATTCAGTGGGCTTTGGCGTGTTCCTGTTTGTGTTGTTTGCCACCTATGGATTGTCCTTTTGGTATGGTGGCAAGCTCGTCGCTGAAGGAAAGATGACGGGTGATCTTGTGCTCATTGTCTTTTTCTCCATGCTGATAGGTACTTTAAAAAGATCTCTTTATGTATGTGCTTTGTATACTAAACTACTTAATGGGATTATCTAGCTGCAATGACCTTGATTCAGTTGCCACCTAATTTGTCGGCTGTATCCACTGCATGTGGTGCTGCATATAAAATATATGCCACAATTGACCGTGTTCCTGATATCGACACCGACAAAGATGAAGGACTCAAATTGGAAAAGGTTGCTGGCGAGATTGAATTCCGCAATGTCAACTTTAGTTATCCAACGCGTCCAGGTATGTAGTAGTAGTAGTAGGTATCCCCACGCCTTGATCCCTCATTTATGCAATGGTCTTCTCGTAGATATTCCTATTCTCAAGAACCTCTCGATCACCATCAAACCAGGGATGTCTGTTGCATTTGTTGGACCCTCTGGCTCTGGCAAGTCGACCACGGTTCATCTCATTCAACGATTCTATGACCCAGTGAGTGGACAAGTGCTTCTTGATGGTCATAACTTGAAGGATATGAATGTCATGAATATACGCCATCACATTGGTGTTGTGAGTCAAGAGCCTGTCTTGTTCAACATGACGATTCGACAAAACTTGTTGATGGGAGTCGACTATGAAGCATCACGTGAGGAGATTATTGAAGCATGCAAGCAAGCCAACTGCCATACCTTCATATCACAATTGCCCGATGGCTATGACACTCTAGTGGGTGAAAAAGGAGGTATGCTTTCTGGTGGACAAAAGCAGCGTATTGCTATTGCACGTGCCATCCTCAAGAATCCCAGCATTTTGTTACTTGACGAGGTAAATTGTTGCCCGCTTCTTTTCATGCAATCTTAAACTCATCCATCATCCATTGTACTACCACTTCCACATACAAAGGCAACCTCAGCTCTTGACACTCAATCCGAACGACTTGTACAACGTGCCCTCGATGCTGCATCCAAGAATAGGACGACTTTACTAATCGCTCACAGATTGTCCACCATTCGTGGTTGCGATCTCATTTGCGTCATGCAGCAAGGTGATCTCGTGGAGAAGGGCACCCATGATGAACTGTTGGCTTTGAACGGCGTCTATGCAGAGCTTGTGCGTAAACAGAAAATTGCTACCAAGCAAGCAGGAGCGAATGACGAGGATGAGGATGATATCGATGAGGAGGAAATGCTACGCAAGGAGACCGAAGAGCTATTGCAGCAGCAGAAGAAGATTGAGCAACTAGCTGAAGCTGAACGAGACAACAAATCAGATCATCTTGTGCGAATGAGTACTTTATCATCCATCGATGCGTTTGAGATCAAGCTTCGCAAGGAAAAAGAGGACCGCAAGCATCGCATGAAACAAAAGGCTCCCATTGGAAAGATCATCATGCAAATGAGACCAGAGTGGAAGTACATGGCTGTTGGTATCTTGGGTGCTGCTGTCGCTGGTGCCGTATTCCCTTGTTTCTCTCTCATCTTTGCAAAGATCATCACCGTCATGATTCTCAATCCATCCAACACAGATGCAGGTCCTATGGAAGGAGGTATGTATTCTTTTGGCTATGATGTACGACCATGATCACTCACATGTGTCTTGTAGCCAATCTTTATGCCTTCGTCTTTGTCATGTTGGGTATTGCGTCTTTCTTTGCTTTTGCGGCACAAATTGCTTCATTCGAAGTCGCTGGTGAACTTTACACAGAACGATTACGAGCTGCCGTGTTCCGTGCCTATTGCAAACAAGAAGTTGGATTCTTTGATCAAGATGAAAATAGCATGGGAGCCGTGACATCCAAACTTGCTATCGATGCCAAGAATGTCAATGAGCTTGTTACCAAGGTAACTAATCCTCGTGTACATACCCATCGAATCAATATCACTGATGGTGCTATCATCTTTAGGTGTGGGGCGATGTGATGCAGCTGATTTCGACCGCTGTCACTGGTAAGGAACAATGGGCTCATTCATACTACTGTTTTACTAAATTGTGACTCTAGGCTTGGTGATCGCTTTTGTTCAAAGCTGGACATTGACCTTGATTGTTATGTGTAAGTAATGGGATTATTGTTGCAGGTCATCTATCCCTTGTCACACTCATCATCGTCTTGATTTATAGGTATGGGTCCATTCATTGCCGCAGCTACGTACTATGAATCCAAAATCAGACGTGGATTTGAAGATGAGACGGCCAAGGCACATGAGCAAAGTGGCGAGGTTGCTGGTGAAGCCATCAAGGAAATTCGTACCGTGGCAGCTCTCAACAAACAAGCACATTTCGAGTTGAGATTTGATCGTGCTCTAGAACATCCTCATCGACTTGCCAAGCGTAAAGCCTATCTCTCATCCATTGGCTATGCACTCCAACAAGGCATCAACATGTACACCAACGCAGTTGCCTTTTATGCAGGCGTTCGATTGATTGACAATCGCTGGATCAATTTCGAGCAAATGATGATTGCAATGATGGCCGTGATTATTACTGCGTAATGTATCGTTCCCTTTTCTTGGTATCTTGAAGTATCATATACATGAGCTAATGACTATCTCTTTCTTTTATTTAGTCAAGGTGTGGGTCGTTCATCCACATTTACGGCAACCTACGCCAAAGCCAAGAATTCTGCTATTGCTGCTTTCGAGATATTGGAACGTCAATCACGTATCGATCCTGATGTTGAAGGCATTGAACCTGAATCGTCTACCATTCGCGGTGATCTTTCATTTAAGGAAATCACTTTCAGGTACATGGTTTTATCATGCATGCACGTAGGATGGTTTTATTGACATGATGGTTTTAGATATCCTGCTCGACCTAATATCCCTATTTTTGATGGCGACTTTAACCTTGAGGGCAAAAGCGGACAAACCATTGCACTCGTTGGACCTTCGGGATGTGGAAAATCAACAACCATCAGCATGCTTCAACGTTGGTACGACCCGATTGACGGCACTGTGCGATTGGATGATTACAACACCAAGAACTTTAGCCTTCATAACCTACGAAGCCATATGAGTTTGGTGCAACAAGAGCCTGTGTTGTTTGACATGACTATTGGAGAAAACATCCGCTTCGGTGCACTTGAAGGTCAACAAGTCAGCCGAGAACAAGTCGAGGAAGCATGCCGTGCTGCCAACATCCACAAGTTCATTTCCGAATTGCCTGATGCTTATGATACAAGAGTGGGCGACAAGGGGTCTCAATTATCGGGTGGTCAAAAACAACGCATTGCTATTGCACGTGCATTGATCCGAAAGCCTCGTGTGTTATTGTTGGATGAAGCAACATCAGCCCTTGATAGTGAATCCGAAAAGCTGGTTCAACAAGCCATTGACAATATCATCAGCGAAGGAGGACGGACGACTTTGACGATAGCTCATAGATTGAGTACTATACAAACAGCTGATTTGATCTGTGTGATCAAGGGAGGACGCGTCGTTGAACAAGGCACTCATTGGGAATTGCTCAAACTCGATGCTGAGTATGCTGCTCTCGTTCGACAACAATCACTGGAGGCAACACATTAATAATAGTCATCCTTTGTTCTATTTACCCGTACACTCTCAATGTAATACATACAACTGATTTATCTTTATGATGGACGCATGTACTAGCAATGTTAAATGATAAAATGGTGGGTTACTGATACCTATCGGGGTTGGTTTTGTCAGCTATTGCTAATATTACATGCCGCCATGCGGGAAGCTGTGGTAGCTGGCAGCATTTACGCTTGTATCCTATGCTTATCGATGAAGGTGTTTTCCCTTTCTGAGATGTACACTTACACAAACAAAGTCTCATTGAGCAGAGCAATATTAGTAGTAACAGACCGTTGTCATTGTTTGATGATAATGGATATTGTCCTATTGCTTACCTCTGATCCTCCTGATTTATACAATGGTCAATCAATCACATCAAGTCTCTTTGTGGAGGCGACCCCTTCAATTTATCAGCTCATCATTCCTTTCATCACTCTTTTTCCTCCATTTTGTGGTCATCACAGTAATACCCACGCCCGCCAATCAAATATAAACAAGAGGGATGTTGTCGCCCATCGTTTTACTCTCACACATCTCTTTCTTTCCATCCTATCTCCCTTTGGATACCGGGTACCCTCAAAGACACAGTTGACGTGAGTTCATATGCCATGGTGGGTAGCACTTCTGCGGGCGATCCATGTACTAACATACATGTGTCATGATCTTTAGCGTTCTTTTTTGTTATCCTACATTCATTGTCATTGTTGTCATTGTGATGATGTTTGGCTCTTGATTAAGGTACTCTCCAAACATGTTGCTTGATGAAGCTCATACTCACATTCTTTTCATGTAGCTATACCTCCCGATATGCATATGCAACGTTGAATTAGGTGGTCGACCACACCCCGCGCGATGGCGGAAAACGGCGTGCTCCTATAGATCGGCGAAGGAAGCCACGCCTGATTTGAAAAAGAAAGTGCATGGATTTGATCATCTTCAGCGTATGTACGGGTTACATAAACGACATTGGGTGATAGCATGATGAAAAGTTCAACGCCATTGACACTCGTATTAAAAGGAATGGTGTGGCAAGATTATCCCCGGGACATTTCCTTCCTACAACTGCGAAAAGTAAGTGCTTGGACGACCCTTAACGTATGTTTGCTCACTTTTCTTTACTCGTGTAGATGGCCGGTACAAAAACTGCACCTTCCCTATCCACGTGAACAACGGCGATGAGTATAAAGACAAGAACATCCTTAGAGGTAAGTGCTTGGATGATCTTTATGGCATTTTTTTTGTTCACTTTTCTTTACCCATGTAGATGGAAGGTACAACAGAATCCAATTTCTACATCCGAGTGAACGCCGGTTATCGCAAACGATACGCATGGTGGCGTCAAGATGCGTCAACGACGCCGACGAGTTCGTGAAGAACGACAACCACTAAGGCATCAAATGCAAGCTATTTATTGAAATATGCCTACTGGAGACATCAAGGGCCAAATTGAAAGCATCAAAGTCGAAGGTCAGTTTCGACCACCACAAGGGAATGTTCGCTCTGCTGTCAATGCTAAAACGCCTGGCAACTGCGTATAATATGGCGACCTATGACGAGCTCAGCCAGCTGATGCTTGTATTACTGCAAGCACGTGGTATGTCTATTCCTTATCCATGTAGACCACCGCTGACTCTTTCTATAGGTGATGCAATTCGCATCTGAATCATGTCAACCCCACAGCAAAGCGTGTACTTGACCATAAGAAGATGAAAATAGCAATGCAAACAAATTTCAATAACAAAGACGACAAACTGCATGTTTACAGGCGTGCTGGGATTTACTGGTAAGATAATCACATTCCTTTTCTTCAAGATTTGTCTGATCTTGCGTAATAGACTTTGTTGGTGGATACTGTTCATGCACTTAAACGGTTGGAAACTAGTCATCGGGCGAAGAAACGTCAGCTTGTACTCAATGATGAAGAGCAGCGCATCGAATATTTGCTGAATACGATGGTTAACCCCAAGATTCTCAAGATGTAAGCAAAAAACGCAATACCTCCAAGATGCTGCAGGTGACGGTTTAAGGAGTTATCATTGTAATCAATTGCAGTGTAGCCGTGCATTAGCCTATCCACCACGTGTTATCATTCAAGTTCGAGAAATACATTATATACTATAGGATGCTCTGAATCGTGAATGGAATAAACACAAGAATAGAAAATGAATGAATCAAAGCTTCAAAGCAATAATAGTAGTAGCACAGATCACCTGATAAAGTTTATTTGTCGTATTATGGCATTGCTATTAAAAGTTGAATCCCCCCATTTATTACATCAGCCACGTTTCCCATAAGCCTATAGATGTGTAGGAAACCTTAATCTCCAAAGTGAAGCATTCTACATCTTGTGCTTATTGGGACATTATCATTTGCATGTGATGATGATGATAGTTCTACTACTATTGCTGCAAGCAGGAGTGCTTTATTGCGATTACAGTATGACGTGGTGAGGAGCACAAGAAAAAAATTAGGGATCATCGAGGCGCAGGTTAATTGCGCGCAACATTTATTAAGGGTAATAGCTTTTATGTATCACCAATGATGATGGAGGGGGGACTAATGGTAACTGGTAGGGCATTTGAAGCGTTCGTGGCCAAGGGTTAAAAGAGCGTGCAGCGGCTGTGCAACCACCCTTGTTCTCATTTTTCTGCATGCTTGCAAATCCTTCCAAAGGCGTTTTCATATCCTGAATGCTGGAGCAACTCATGAACAGAATGGACGGTGCTGTCCGATCCTCAAGGATATCACCACGCATGTTACGTCGTCTCAGCAAGCATCAGCGCATCATGGCCACTCTCATTGTTGTCCTTGCTGGCTTTTCTCTTTTGGCGTCCATGTCGTTTACTTCAACCTTGTCTCTCAGCAGCGATTCAGACACCTCAATGCATAGACGACCATTGACTTCTTCTTCTTCAAACAACGAACGTTATCTTGCCTATTTGCCTCATTCAGGGTTGTCGAATCAGCGAATTGAGTTGGCCAACGCGTTGGTCCTTGCAGCACTACTCGATCGTACACTTATTGTACCGCCAGCCTTTCTTGGAACGGTGGTTGGATGGATGAAGCAGGATCAGTTGTATGAACATCTTGGATGGCTTACAGACGGCAGTGTCGACTTTGAGTACGAGTGTCGACCTCCTACACCGGGTGATTTGGGATCTTACATTGTCAAGAGTCGTTGCATTGAATATCATCGATTTGCAGTCATTCATTGGACCACTTTACATGACTTGGAACATGCCGTTGCTCCCTACGTGCGTATCCGTTTCCAGGATCAGGTATCATTGGATCGATTACAGGAGGATTTGGGTATTGGCCCTGATGAGACGTATGTGCATACCGATGAGCATATCTATGATTGGCGATTATACGAGGATCGAGCAGAAGCAAAGCGATTGGTTACTACCGGCACCAACTATTTCGATTCATTTGCTGGAAGACGCTACTTTAAGGTGTATACGCTGGATCATTGGCGAAGACGACCGGAAAAGTTATTGCAATTGGGCGGCATTTTTGGCAGCACACGGATGTCGTTGGTCAACCCAAAGTATTTGGCACTTCGAGAACGGATCACACAGGCACTGCATTATCGACGAGACACTGCCATTGGTGAAACAGCACAAAACATTGTTCGTTATTTGGGTGGTGAAGGAACTTTTGTGGGCGTCCATTTTCGTACTGGCGACAGTCCTTTCCGCAAGCAGCTTAGACACAACATGGATATGTTTGCAGAGGGCATGGCTGAATTGACACACGCCAATGTATCATTACCGATATCAGAGAACGACACTGAGGAAGATGATGATAGCATCGATGAGGACAAACGTATCCAGCTACTACCTCCATATGAAGGATTGCATCGTCCGCCATGGTCAACGATTTGCCGTTCAGTGCCAGCTGATAAGAATACACTTATCGTATCGGGTACAAGCACCAACATTTACATTGCTACCGATCACCGTGATCCACGTGGATACAAGAGCCAACTGTCACCATGGTTTGAAACTTTTCCTTGTACTGTCACCCTCAACGATTTACCAGAGTACCTGTTTGCACCTCTCGATCGCCTTCACGACCACATTGTCCCGGGTAAACCCCTTCGATCCTTTTTGATACCAATTGTTGATGCCATGGTTGCTGCTCATGCTCGTCAAGTGTTTACTACGCCTCGTTCAACATATTCTAGATACATTAGCGAGATGAACCAAGCTTGGATCCATTGATGATACTATACTATTATAACTCTCATTGCATGTAAATAATACTTTTCCTCCTCCTCCCTCCCCCCTTGAATTAGTCTTCCTCCTTCATCCCATCCCATATTGTAAAATCTAGACATTAAAAGGGTATATATTGACATCCGCTACATCATAAGCAAAAAGCACATGAAAGACTAGTCAGCGGCGATTAAAGCGACAATCATGGAATACAGGTAGTAGAAAAAGCACTATACACAATGCATGTTAGTCTTTCACACACGTGGACGTATATGTAAAACTTGACTTACGATGAGGTAAAATGCGAGCTTGATAAAGCATTCCTTTTTATGCTGAGATATGGTACGAAAGATTTCGGTTGCATCATACATGTGTCGGCTTTGCGTGACCCTAAACATGAGATTCATGCAAGTTGAGTGTACCTTCATTCAACAACAGCAGGGGACGGACGTACTTTTGAACATTGAATGCCACCAATGGAAGGTTTAATAGCATCGATAGCCAACTTCCATTCACCAAAAACATAAAGAACAAGAAAGCATGAGCACCCATCTCGGGAAGGACAAACTATTATGCATCCCCATCATCAGTGATATGCCACTTTATCCCACTGTTTCTACTTGCCTGGTTGAGCTTGTTACAAAGGTCAATGGGGTTAATGTAGTCGCATTCCAGATCAGAAAACATGATTACCTATAGAGAACGTGTTACGTAGTTGTAAAGAAGAAGAATAAAGGGACAATAGCTTACAAAAAAGACCATTACAAATAGCAGCAAAGCTGCCATGATAACGGCAAAAAGAAACAAGAGTGCTTCACTTGGCATGGTTTGGTGGTGGTAAATAGCTAGATAGAGGAGGGGAAGATCTTTTTCGAGAAAGAGCAGACGACGACGCGTGTGAAGGAACTCATGGTTACCCCTCGTGACTTTTGACAATGATGATGATGATGATGATCACCCCCAGCAACTTCTCATCATGGCATAAAAGAAGATGAATGATTTTACACACAATGCAGGAGGATGATTTTTTTTATTGTGACATGTTCAAACTTAGTGATGGAAGAGACGAAGGGAAGTATGTACAAGAACCATATCATTAGCATCAGCGGCAGCAATAACAGCATCATCTTGGACGGAACCAGAAGCAGCGGCAATGTACTTGACACCAGAGCGGTAAGCACGGAAAACATTGTCCGAGAAGGGGAAGAAAGCATCGGATGACACAACGGTATCCTTGAGCTCCTTCATCCATTCCTTACGCTCTTCAGCAGTCAATGGCTCGGGCAAGGTGTTGAAGTTCTCCTCCCACATCTTGCGTTCTTCACCCTCACCAATTTGATCAATCACATACAAATCAATGGCATTGGACTTGTCGGCACGCTTGGCAGTCTTTTTGAAATCGAAAGCAAGAACCTTGGGATGATGGCGCAACCACCAGTTGTCAGCCTTATCACCAGCAAGACGAGTGCAGTGGATACGGGATTGCTGACCAGCACCAAGACCAATGACCATACCATTCTTGGCATAGCAAACAGAGTTGGATTGAGTATACTTTAAGGCAATGGTAGCAACAATCAAATCTCTGACAGCAGACTCAGGAAGCTATAATAAAGCATTGCGTTAGTTTTGATTAATGGGTATACAATACAATAAATACATACATCCTTGTTCTTGGTAACAACGTTGGTGAACAATGACTTGTCAATCTTGTAAGTGTTACGCTTTTGTTCCATGTAAAGACCATAGACTTGACGGGTTTCTTGCTCAGAGGGTTCATAGTTGGGATCCATTTGAAGGACAACATACTTGCCACCCTTCTTGGCCTTGAGGACTTCAAGAGCTTCAGGTTCGAAATCAGGAGCAATGACACCATCCGAGACTTCACGGGAGATGATCTTTGCAGTAGCAAGATCAACCTTGTCGGAGAGAGCAATAAAGTCACCAAAGGATGACATACGATCAGCACCACGAGCACGAGCATAAGCAGTAGCAAGAGGAGTCAAAGGCAACTTGAGATCATCCACTTGATACACCTTCTTTTCAACATCCGAAAGAGGGACACCAATGGCAGCACCAGCGGGGGAGACGTGCTTGAAAGAGGCAGCAGCAGGGAGACCGGTAGCTTCCTTAAGCTCCTTGACAAGAGCCCATGAGTTGAGAGCATCCAAAAAGTTGATGTAACCGGGAGAACCAGAAAGAGGAGTTACGGGCAACTTGCCTTCCTTGACGTAGATCTGAGCAGGCTTTTGATGGGGGTTGGCACCATAACGAAGAGGAAGCATGGAGACACCTTGAGCATATTCCTTGCGGAAATAGTTGGAGATAGCCTCATCATAATCAGCAGTGTGACTGAAGGCCTAAAAAGAAAATCTCATGTCAATAATGTGATCCTATGCATTGCATTGCATTATAGGTATACCTTCAAAGCAAGGGTGTTACGGGTTTCTTGGGTGACTTGACCAGCCTTGAGCTCTTCAATGACCTTGTTGTAGTCCTTGGGATCGGAAACAATAGAAACACGGGCATGGTTCTTGGCAGCTGCACGAAGAAGAGTGACACCACCTAAAAAAATGTCGTGTAATGTGTCAGTAACAACAACAACAACCCCGCATGATTCACATCCCCGCCAGCCCAACAAACTCACCGATATCGATCTCCTCAACAGCTTGGGGGATAGTAACATCAGCCTTGGCAACGGTTTCCTTGAAGGGATACAAGTTGCAGACAACAATGTCGATCTTTTCAATTTGTTGTTCAGCCAAATCCTTGTCATCGCTTTCAATGTTACGGGCCAAGATACCACCGTGGACAGCAGGATGGAGGGTCTTGACACGACCACCCAACATTTCGGGAGCCTTGGTGATATCAGAGACGTCACTTTTTTTTAAACGAGCAACGTTAAAAACCCATATGCCTTTTCATGCTTGTTGTCTTTACCCAATAGGGATACCAGCATTGCGGATAAGCTTAGCGGTACCACCAGAACCGAGCAAGCGTACGTTCAACGCGTGAAGTTGTTGAGCAAACTCGACCAACCCGGTCTTGTCATAGACGGAGAGAATGGCTATTCCATAACCCGGTCAATGTACGCTCTCCATTGTACCATGAATGAATACCAACCGATCTTTTGCGACATTGCGTGTCAAAGAAGTGGGTGAAAAGTGAGACAAAGGTGGATGGATATTGACTCTCAACTGCTCCGGATCCTTTTCAACAATTGGTGACTGCTGATCTACAATCTTTTTCATTAGACAATGACGATCCAATGTGTGTCATATCCCCAGTTGTCGGTATCTCATTATGCATAGGGCTCATTGACATTCATTCTTTTTAAATGAGGATGCAAAACAAAGAAAGGCTCCTTTATAGCTACGCGATGTACTAGTAGAATAAATGAATACATACACCCAACCATCTGAATAGAAAACCGATTGTTTTAAAAGACACGCAAATTGAAGCTCTTGTTTTATGGGGGATTACAAGTGGGTGGTATTTACAAAGCGTGATGATGTATGCATGGTGTGTGTGTGTGTGTGTGTATGTATCTACAAGTCGATGCTCTTTCCTAGCTCATTTCCACATCCTCATCACTGGATTGGGTCTTTTTCTTGTTGGATGAATCCATCTTTTGCTTGCCCTTGTCTTGATCCTTCTTGTGATATTCACGTAGTTCCTTCTCAACCTTGCCATCGTCATCATAAACGAGCACACCTTGCTTCCAAGTACCATGCTTGTTGCCAAGCTCCTTGTTGTAAGCGTATTCACGTGCAATATCATCCGCGTTGCCCTTCCATCCACGATAGAGTTGCAGGTTTTGTCGTCCAATCAATCGTATACATTTGATGCGTAGCTCATTGGTTGTCTAGCAACGTTGACAATAAGCAAGATGTCATCTACATGTATGTATATACAAAAAACTTACCCATTTTGGCAGCAATTCCTTAGAGATCTCACCAAAATTACCAATGCCATATTTCTCAATGCCCTCAATAAGCAAATCCTTTTCAGCATCCGTCCACTTGCGAGTAGGTTGACGTTTGGCACCACGAGGAGGTCGAAAATAGCTGTTGTAAAACATACGCCCATCATAAGTCACTATGTTCACAACGACCACTGCCACCACCACCACTTACTCTTGATTCAACGTGCCATCCGGGTGAATAATATTCTTTGTGATTTCAAAGTCGGGTCGAATGCAGAACTTGAGTCTGAATTGCTTGATCCACTCTTGCTTGGCACGCACTCGTTCCTGTTCAGGGCTAAGCACCATGGGCGTTTCCTCTTGCTTCACTTCAGGCGAATCGATGACCATGGCGTCACTCGATTCAAGATGGTTGGTATCGTCTGCTGTCATGATGACGGAATGGAAAGTAAAGAAATAGAGAGAAAGAGAGAAAGCGGGAAGAGAGAAAGAGGGCGGACGTGTTTTTTTTAAAAGAGGTTGTCGTGTCCATTTCGCGTTCCACAACATGCCAATTAACAACTATTCATTCACCAGACAATGCATCCAAGATTATCTATTGTATCCATAACATGCTGGAAGATAGGTAACGCGACTAAAAAGTATACCATACTAAGTGGAGGGAGGAGGTGGTGGATTATAAGCGCGAAACTAACCAAGATGAGATATAAAGTGTAGTAAGAGGGATATGAGCAGAAAAGAGAAATATGTACATAAGTCTACAAGTGGATGAAGAGGGGGGTTGTTTGTGTATCATACTATTTTAACCGGTTATTAGAAATGGGAGAAAGAAAGACATAACATAAAAAAAGTTGTTGCGGGCGAGAATAGAGGGCACCAGTGACATAAAAGGAGCGGGCATAACGACGTTGGATATATGTATATACTTTTTTTTAACATGCGAATTCGTTGTAATATGCTGATGATGGCTGTTGTTGTTGTTGTTGTGCCAAATCGAGGAAGGTGAGATCAAGTTCATGGTGGGTGGTGGTGGTAGCAAAGATGGGTTCCGAGAGTCGTCGCATATCCTGCATAATGATGATAGTAGGTGGTGAATCTCCCATTCTCAGGATCATGCAAAAAGTGATGACCTTACCTCATTTAAATCATTTGATGCTTGTGGCAAAATGGGACAGGAGCTTCTTCGTAGCAACTCGTCGTTCAAATAGTAAATGTCATCTGTGGCATGTGGATGAACAGGAGGGATCAATGCTGCTGCTGCTGCTGCTGCTGCTGCTGCATCGGCTGCTGAGGATGTGGTTGAGGGTGATAATGGAAACAACGTATCAAAAGCAGCAGCGGTTGTCAACACGTCTTCCTCTGGCATATGGCCCATCCATCCACCACAACCACCATACTCCATATTTCTTGAGCATTGCTGTTGCTGCTGTTGCTGTTGCTGATGCATTGCTTTACATTCAAAGTCATCATTGCATGCAGCTACTGCTACTGCTGCTCCTGTAGTAGGCCAAAATGGATCCATGGGGAAAGGTGGGGTGATAGGTTCGACTACAAGTGGATGTTGTTGTTGATGATCAACCATGGATGTGGATGAAGACGAAGGTGACATGTTGTGTTGTTGTTGTTCATTTTGCTCCTGTTGTTGTTGTTGCTGTTCACGACGTTGTTGAGCTTTTGCTTTGGCGCGTCGATTCTGAAACCACACTTGCACGCCACGGGGTGTCATCCCTAATTTCTGAGCCAAGGCACGTCGCTTTTGTGCATTGGGTTTGGGGGTCTCGTGAAATGTCTTTTCGAGTACCTTGAATTGAGCACGCGATGTTCGTCGTCGATGCTTTACTTCAAATGGATTGTAAAAAGATGGCTTAAAGTCCCCAGGTTGAGATGCACGACAACATTCACAATCGATGATCGAGTTGCTGCTTGGTGATGATGATGATGATGATGGTGTTCCACCACATGGCATCATCATTGGTGGAGGTGGAGGTGGAGGTGGTGGTGGTTGACATGCACCCATGCTGGCAGCAGTCATTGCAAGTGGTGTCGTCATGTTGTGGTATGATGACCACATGTCATCGATAAGCTGTGGAGGTGGTGGAACAACGTTGTTACAAAAGCAAGGTTGTTGTTGGTTGTGGCATAAAAGATAATCATCGCATTCGGGAGTGGTGGCCACTGTGGTGGGTGTGGTGCTGTTGCTGAATCCACTGATACCGTTCATAATTTAAAAATAATGCTGGGTCATATAGGTGTGTGTTCCTTAGTAATGTATGTAGTGTACAGCAACGATGATGCGTATGTATATGGCTCTGCTTATATATATATATATATGCGTATGCAAAAAGCAGAGAACAAAAAGAGAAGAAGAAAAAAAGGTTGGAGCAGTCAAGAGAAAGAGAGGGTGAAATACCATATGTCTATATATAGACGACGCTGGTGTGTGCGCGTGTGTGTGTGTGTTGGCAGGTGCGCGTGTTGTTGTATCTCGCAGTTCTTCTAATAAAGTGAAGGAATGTGAGGGGTTGATGTGGAGCTGAGGGGTTGTTTTACGCGTTCTAATTATGCACGTTCAGGAGAAGCGAGAACAATTATATCAAGCAGAAAAAGGGTGGCAAAAAGTTGGCAAGTACCATGTCGCCAAGACCTAGCGGATATGTGAATCGAGTGATGGGGAAAGATAAGTAGTAATATGTAGTAGCAAGAGGAGCTTGCAGCTATCGACAGCAGCAGCACAGCTCTTGAATTCTAGTTTCGGGGGTGAGTACACACCATCATGTTTGTTGGGGGAGTGGAATGATGGGCCAGGGTTTGGAATGAATGAGATAAACGTTAATCTTCTCTATTATACTTGCTCACCCCCCTTTCTTGATTACTCTTTACATCCAAGTCGTTGGATCATCCCTAAGCTCTCATGTATGTATATCAAACGCAATTTTAAGCGACGTTTAAAAGAGCCACTATGAAAATCGATGCATAGTGATCATGAAAATGATACTGCTAATCCAACAAGACAACCTTGGATGGATAATGGACATGATACCATAGAGTAAACAAACATGCATACATATATCCCGCCCTCGTTTTGAAAAAAATGACAGCTTGTTGAAGCACGTGTGCCCCTGGTTGCACCCAATGCTCTACACCCATTGATAGTGTTACATGCACACGCGTCCGAGAAGAACATAAACAATCATAATAATCTCCCCTTGAAAGACGTATTCTTTGGTGGATCACCTGTATCGGTAAGGACGTTGAAGGAGCAACAACACCGTCAACAACAGAAGGGGATGTTGAATAGCGTGCGCTCATTTTGCGTGTGTTGGTGTTTGCCAGGTACATGCAGCTCGTTATTAATTACACTCTGCAAGCAGACGTGGTTCACATCAAGACTCATCCGCAACATGTGCAAGCTCGTTTCCCCTACATACGGGATAAAGGGGGGGAGCTTTACGCATAGACCAGCTTTCAACAAGGGCTCACTCATCACATCAATCGCGCTGATCCATCTATTTGTGTTCTTCTTGATTGATAATAGCCAAATGCAAGTGCACACATGACATACACACACACTTACTCACCCTCAGGCTGCATCCAAAAGTTCCTTGTATACATCTAAGTATACATACGCATGGTACTCAATCCTCACGCAGGAACATGACGCGTGTTTTAGATAGGATAAAATCTCCTGGTTGTGCTTCCAAAGGAGTGGGTCACGACAAAATGATGGTAGCAGGGGGCAACGGAGGAATGATCGGGATATGGAAGCAAGTTCTCGGTGGTAATCTCCATGTTTGGGATATTATTCCTGCTAGGTATACTCCAACTTGGCACATCTGTCAGAAGATGCAGCACACTCGCATCATCTGATGACGGGTTTTCTTTATGACCCATCCCATATTCTATGCACTCACTGAAACACAAACAATGCCGTACTTGCATTGTGGCACCATTCTCTTACACTGCAGCCACATCATCGCCGTCATTAAAAAATGCCGCATGTACAAAAAAAGTGCCACGCTCTGTTTACTCTCTCGCCATTTGGTGCAAACACAGCACCATCGACATCATACTATGTACTGTACACCCCTTGGTTCAGCTTTTAGGGATAAAACTCGCATCCATCCATCCATCCATACATTCGCCTCTGACTTATAAATCCGGTTATATTACGATTGATCTTTTTTTTTCGCATAAAATGTTTTTCTCGCATCTTTTTTTTCTTTTCCTTCAATACAACTTTGACTTTGTTGATCCTTCCACGCATGTCATCGATTGCCTTTTTGGGGCCAATGTCATGCGGATGTCAGGTAGACCCTAAATGCGCATAAATACTCACCATCACTCTTATTTGGGAGCGTATGTAAGTCATTGCCTACAATGCACATTACATGATTCATGCCATTGTTGTATTGACGATCATTATGTATCTGGCAATCACCACATCTCGAGAGTTTTGTGAACAAGCCCGCGTAAATACGGCTCCCTTGGCATGGTCTCCTTTTTTCCAAAGTATTATAAACCGACCAGGAGGAGAGGTGTCAGGGACAAAGTAATACAAATCGCAAATCAAATAAAAAGAAAAAAAGAGAGGTGACCAACATTATCCGCACGCACGAACACACACACCCCTCTATAGGATCAGCATCATCATCATCACCACTCTTATTGTGCTCTCATTATTATTAGCTGAGCACATACCCCATTAATGATCATAAACAGCTGTTGTCAAACCAACGATGATTCCACCACGCGCCTGTATACCTTCTGTAAGCGGGTTTGGGAGTAGTTTTATCCATCACAGCATGTGCATGGACGTGAAGAGAGGGGTGATGGTGTTAATGTGTCTTGAGAAAAAAAAGACGCTTACATGCCCTTCTCTCACTTTCTATTACTCCTATGCCAAAAAGTCAGTCCTTTGTATATCGCTTTCCGCTCGTCTTTTCTTTTCTCTTTTCTTTTCTCTCTTTCACCTTTATCATAAGGCCCTTGATTTGTTCCTTGCCAACCAACCCTATTGCGTTATTGGCTGACCTTATCACACCTTTATGTCAGCAGCAGCAGCAGCATCCTCGTGCACACAATCACGAATGGCCCGATCCAAACAACCTGATATCCTTCTTGACAAGAGCCATGAGCAGGCGGCTGTCGACTTTATGAATCAAGTCCTTGGTGATATTGATCCACCTATCGAATGCGGCAAATTACATGAGATGCTCAAAGATGGCGTTTTGCTTTGCAAGTACGTATATCATCCATCTGGAAGAATGACTCGATTCTCATCAACAAGCATCTACATAGCCTCGTCAACAAATTACGACCAGGAACCATCAAGCATGTGGGACAACGCAATCTCACATTTATCAAGGTATGTACATGCAATGGAAGCTAAATTTATTATAAAAGAGGGTTGCTAATGTATACATTCACGGTGGTATAGATGGATAATATCACTCGGTTCTTGCAAGGAGCGCGTCAGGTATGAAGATGTTTCCATGTGTCTGTGCTTTATGTTCTATTGTGCGGCTGAGGAAGAGGAGGAGGACATCCATGCTGAAAAGAGCTATATTAGCTTGGTCTTTCCGATAGTCAACTTTTCGAAACCAGTGACCTGTTTGAGGCAAAAGACATTCCGGCGGTAAGTAAAAAAGAAATTGAATGTGTACTCCTTGATACTAACAGTGAGAGACCCTTGCGCAGGTCATCCATACTATTATGGCAATTGCACAAATGTATAGCAATGAAAAGAAGGAGGAGCATAGCAAGGAGGAGGATGATGAGGATGATGATGAACAGTCAGCTGGATCTCCCCAGGAAAAGGAGCAAGAGCAAGTAGAGGAACCTACTATAATGGGTGAGCGGCTTGTTTAATTTCAGAAAGGGGTAAAAAGGGGAATGGGATGATAACTTACCATCCATCATGGTAGACATAGCAACGACGACGACAACCGTTGATAATGACGTTAGCAATGATCCTTGTTCAGGGCACCGAGATGTACGCGATATCTTCTCCATCAGCACGACTTTTCCTGATACGACGACAACGTTGAACCATAATCCTGCATTGGCTCGGCCTCCGAAATCACCCCTTCGTCCTGCATCTAGTAAAAGACGACCACGACGTAAAAGTATCGATACAAGTGCAACAGATGAAGATCGCTGGCCGACATGTTCACGACCTACCTTTGCAACACAAGGAAGACAATCCGATTACGTTGCTTTATCACGCACCTCATCCACTTCTTCATGTAACTCGTTCATGTCGTCGCCCAATGGGTCACCCAAAGCTACACGTCGACAAAGCGTCAACTTTCCACAACAACACCACCACCAAAACCAATACCATCAACATTCTCCACCTCCTCGTCCTCAGTCTCAACATATCAAAGCAGAAAGTCTTGGACGCAAGTTGGATCGCAATCTCGCCAAATCGGTGGAGGAAGGGCGTTCAGCTGAAAAGCTGTTACTCAAAAGCAAGGATGGCATGACACGTGCACAATATCAACTTGGCAATTGTATTGGGAAGGGCCAATTTGGTGCCGTCTATCGAGCATTGGATCTTGGTACGGGTGAAACAGTTGCTGTCAAACGGATCAAGCTGCATGATGCTGAAGATCAAGATGATATCATGAAAGAGGCGACCTTACTCAAGACGCTCAGTCATTGCAACGTCATTCAATACCTCGGCTTCATTCCTAGTCGAAATCATATCAACATTATCCTCGAGTAAGTGAACGATCTCTTTCTCTCTCTCTCTTTGATATGATGGTGACTAATAATGATGATGATAGGTATGCAGAAGGAGGTTCGCTCATGTCCACACTCAAGGCATTTGGTGCATTCCCAGAAAAGCTCGTTGCATCCTTTTGCATGAAGATCCTGAATGGCTTGGAATATTTGCATGCGAATGAAGTGGTGCATTGTGATCTCAAGGCAGCGAATATCCTTACCACCAAAACGGGCGATGTCAAGTTATCCGATTTCGGCGTTTCCCTCAACCTCAAGAAAACCAAGGTTGATGCGAATGATGTATCAGGCACACCCAATTGGATGGCACCGGAGGTGATTGAACTCAAGGGAGCATCATCCAAATCGGATATTTGGTCACTTGGATGCACATTGATCGAGTTGATTACTGGCAAACCACCCTATGCCGACCTCATTGCCATGTCTGCCATGTTTCGTATTGTCGAGGATGATCATCCACCTTTGCCCGATGTATCAGAGCCCATGCATGATTTCCTGTTGAGTTGTTTCCAGAAACATCCACAAGATCGACCCTCAGCCACCGAACTCTTAGACCATCCATGGCTTCAAATGCATAGTGCTGTTGCTGGTGCCAGTAGACCTACATCCATGCTACAACATCATCAACAAAATCGATCCATGAGTAGTCGTCCTGCTTCCATGGTAGCACAACAACAACAGCAACCTATCTCCTCTTCAAGTGAGCCTACAAAGGAAAACACCTTGCCATCAGGTGCTAGACAACAAAGACAACAAGGTGGTGGTAGTAGGCCATCCTCTGTGGTACATCCTTTGGATAATCGACCCCTATCTGAGAACATCCTTATGGATCCCATCACACATCGATTCATCAAAATGTCCTTTGGCAAAGGTAAGTGCGAGTGAAAATATACGCATGATGGATCAAGTTGATTGACTCGAGACTTTTAAAAAGTGGTCGAATGCAAGGTGTGTGGCGACTTGATGAAATCACAAGCCATCTTTTGCGAGGTCTGTGCGTTGATTTGTCATGATAATTGCAAAAAGTTGGCGTTTTCTTGTCCACCCAAGGTGAACGATCAACAACCTTCGTACGACGTGAGTTGACATGTGGTTCTGGTGACACGTGGGAATGGGATGGGTTGATTAATTGATTGATTTGTTGTTGTAGTGGGTATTTTCCGCAAAGATCTATAACAATAATGGTGATCGACGAAGTGCAAGCATGCCAACGGATTCCAGTCGACCCAGTGATCATCCACAATTCGAAAGTATTCGAAAGTATTCTGTGGCCCTTGGTTTGACACCACGTGAGGAACAGGCATTGTGTGAGAATCAGGCCCTATTGACGCATACGTTGGCCATGCAACATGACAATCCAGCTGCGGTCGCGAATCTTTTAAACAAGAAACAAACCAAGGATCGTAAAAAGAGTCTACGTGGCACATGGGCTAATTTGTTTTAAAGTCATCATCATTGTTCTTCTGTAATTGTTGTATATCTAATAGCTAAGCGTAATTGTTACTACTTTATTCTTCTCTTATATCACGTAATGAATTTTTAAGAGAAACGGCGGAAAAAGTTACTACATTCTTTGTTTGTATAATATGGGAACCGCGGGACGACAAGGAGGAGGGGAAAAGAGAACAAGGGATCTTCCATTTGCGGGGTGGTATGCTCTGCTGCAATGACATGTGATTGATAAATAACGGGCGTACACAGTTGCTCTCCTTTTCCCTATTTCTTTCCCATGGCACCCATTGCTATTGATACCGTCTTTGTCGTAAGGCATGGTGAACGTCTCGGTAAATTATTAATCATCACATACTCTACATCCTCATCATCCTCACCTTTATCCACCACCACCACCACAGATCACGTATCCAAGGCATGGCAACCTGATCCAGCACACGGCTTGTGGGATCCTCCTTTATCAGACAAGGCAAGTCATATTGCCACTCGTACTCTTGTATCCTCATATTTTGGACAAGGGGGCAATGTACACTGATATACAGTGCAACGTCAGGGACGAGACCAAGCTAACCGTACCGGCCAATACCTTGTGCGCCTAATGCATGACAGCAACATTGACTTTGCCACTGCACGAATCGTCATTTATACCTCGCCATTTCAACGATGCCTTGATACGGCACTTGATATCGCACAGCATTTCCCTTGTCGCAACACCACGCTACGGCTTGAACTTGGTTTAGGAGAATGGATGTCAGAAGAATTCTTTAGCGATCCGCCAAGCCCAGCAACACGTCTCATATCCAGGCAACAGGAAGCACTTGCACGTAAACAATTGGCATCTTACAAAACAACATCCTTGACCATGCCACAAGTGGACTATGCACATCCATCCATAGCCAATGAATTTACATACCCTGAATCTTATACCGACATGGTGAAGCGATTGGAAAAGACACGTACGCATTGTTTGCAACAAGCAAAGGACAAAGAGATTGCTATATTTGTGACACATGCCATTTGTTGTCATGCATTACTGGATGGTTTCCGTGGCAAACAAACTCGACCTCTTGAAGCCCCTTATTGCAGCGTATCACGTATTACCCACACAAAGCAACCTGACACCACTACCATTCATACACCTCCTCCTTCTCCCCCATCCACCAATGACAATGATGATGATCATCCATGGAACACTGATCTATTGTTCTCCAACATTCACCTTGAACATTATTGAATTTTTGTTGTATACCAATTGAACAAATAAAGGAATCTAATAGCCCAAAGCAGCGAGGGAAGCGTTGATGTCCTTGACAGTATCAGCCTTGGAAGCAATAGCCTTCTTTTCAATGGCAGCAAGAGCAACCTTGCGCTCGTGGTAAGCGGCAGCCTTAGCCTTACGCTTGTCTTCGAGCTTGGCAACAACATCTTGGTACTTCCAGCCATATTCCTTGGAGATACGAGCAAGAGTGGTGTACTTGCGGCCAGGCTTCAAACGTTGGACACGAAGGGCATCAGGGATCACCATACGCTTAACCTTGTCATAAGGAGCAGGAACACCTTCGAAAAGCTTGACACGATCCAAAGCAGCAGCACCACGAGCAGTCTTGTGAGGAATCATACCACGAAGAGCCTTGTAAAAGATGCGAGAAGGAGCACGGAAGTGGAAGGGACCACCACGACGAGGGTTGACACGGTTTTGCTTGTGCAAGTAAGAGTGGTACTTGACTATATATATGATCTCGATGAATACCTCATACCATTTTCCCTTTTATTATCCACTTCACTTTACTTACGCTTGTTACGGAAGAACTCGCCAGACACATTCAATTCCTCGCAGCGGACAACAACGACCTTTTGGCCGCTCAAGGCCTGCTTGGCGACAATCGAAGACAAACGACCGAGGAGATGACCCTTGCCGTCAATGACAACCACCTGGAAACGATCCACATTAGCAATCATGCAAGCTTGCTCCCATTGGGCGCCATGGCGTGGGAGCGACTCACCTTTTCAAAAGTGCTCATTATAAAAAGAGGGCGGGAAAAAGAGAGAGAGAAAGAAACTGAGCGCGCGTGAAAACACAAACCTTTTGAAAATTCTTGTCGCCACCGACAACACACCTGGTCAGCCAATCACAAGGACAGACTTGACACCTGTCAATCACCGTTTATTCATTCACCGGCCCTTTAAACGAGGCATCGAGTACATAATTTAAAATTCTTGTTATCACTTGTTATTTCATAAAACACAATCTCGCTTCGCTCCCAAAGTACAATTTTCATTGAATTGGATTGATGTTTACATGTGTAGTCATCATAGGAAGTAGGGGTCGATGCACATGCTCATGAATGAAAGTGGACCATCTCCTGGGTAAGGTTCATGCTCCAATGCCGGGAACGATAGGGTGCGTGGGATGTCATCATCTACCATGCAAACGAGATCATAATAGCATCAGCAGCGATAGCTTCATCCTTGTAGACATGAGTACTCTCACATCCTTTTAGCATCATCCCCATTTTCCACTTCCACCACAATAAATGCTCGCACACATGACAAGCCTGTCAATATGTATCACTACTGTCAGCTCTTCCCAAGTTGTTTTCCATATCATCTGCATTTTTTTAAGAGGATAAAGGTTTTTAGCTACATACTACACATGTTAATAAGGCCGTGTTTAGTTGACCAAAGATAGCATCGTTCACACTCAAGTCACTCGTCTTTGTTTTGCTTTCAGGGGTGCAGGATGTTGTTGACCTACTAGTGTGGCTACATATACTACCTCATTTTGCGCCCACATCATGCATGTGGAAGTTCCATCGTCATTCAATACTCCTGTTGATGACGATGACGTGATAGAATAGCCACTAATACAATATAAATACACCCATCATGCATCGTCTGACACATTTCTTCACCCATTCTTCTTTCACAATAATACATTATGCATCAAGGACGCTATTCCTCATCGGCATTACTATTGCTATTTGCTTCCATTATGGTTGGATTTATTGCCCCTCCTGTCGTTGCTGTCAAAGTTCACCTATCCAAATCGAAGGAGGAAGCCCTGGCCTACTGTGACGGCATTAAATTCAAGATGTCAAACGGGGAACACTCTCAAGAAGTCATGCACACCTATCAAGCAGTGTATCCTGACCAACAAGGCAACGATGTTTTCTACCATTGTGGCGATAGAAAAGAGTACCCAACCGATGTTAATAGGTCCAAGAAAGATTGTAAAAGCGCCGCGACGAAAACTAAGGAAACGCCAGACAAACACGTACATTATGAGTGCCTTTCGGATGGTGGATGGGCCCTTGTAGACTGCAGCCCACACAACGGCCGTATAACTTGTGAATATCCAGAGCGCGATGAATATCTACAGAACCATCCAGAAAAGCTTGTGGAATATTTAAAGAAGGATGATCCAGAGCTTGTGGAATATATAAAGAAGGCTCATCCAGAGCTTTTTCGTAATTTGGAAAAGGGGACACTCAACCCTAACGACGTTTATGAGATTCTTGATGCGTCTCAGGAGTTCGATAAGAAGCAATTGCATAGTAAGGCGCAACCAGCCTCAGGGCTCGTTGAATCGTATTACATGGATGCCAAACTGGCAGGGGCGGATTTGGTTGACGTCTTTGCAAAAAGCGATTATGGCACCCAAACCAATTAACCCTTGCCAGCACACAAAAACCATTGGGAAAAGTTCAATGAAGCTGAGTTAGCAACATCACCTCAATAAATATATCATAATTGACACAGCCTGATACACGTACGCATTTCGAATATGTGACACACCGCTGCAAAACCGAAAGCAATCTTGACGAGAATTGTAGTAGTAGAAGGTCGACTCGCATAAACTATTTTGTATATGTGAACCCACCAGTAATCAATTCAATGCAGGGATCTCTTCGCTTTTTCTCTTCTCAAGGTCATCTCACTCCTCCTTATTGTATCACAAAAGTCATACACTTCTTGCATGACCGATAACCGGACCACCTTTATTATTCCATCTTCGAAGCAATAGTATGTAATCCACAAGCTAGCAAACTGCAAGTGCATAATAAATAAATAATGCTTTATTCCATCTAGCTACATTGCCACCATCCTCGTCTTCGTCCGCCATCATCATTCGTACTCGTACTGGTCAGCAGTCGTCAATTTCCTCGTCACCCCCAATATCCAAAAAGCACACAAGTAGAAAAGACTGTGATCTTGCAGGCTTCTTTTTGAATCTCATTGTCGTTATCATCATTGTCATTGTTGTGATAGCATTAGGTGTCAAATATGCAGTTGGATGATGATCGTTGTCCATGCTTGGCAGGTGCCACAACGATGATGATATGAACTCTCATGAAAAAGTACAATAGCTGATTGCACCAATCGTCCAGGATGATAACATCACAGTCAAGTTGACAATAAATATATAAGAACAAGGCTCTCTTCCCATGTGTTGTATACATTCACATCCTTCCATTCCCCCATGCACCAACGAAATATCCATATCCATATGCCGTAAAAAATCGTATGTATTGGAGTGAGTTGCTATACGTATGTGAAAACCGCTCCTATACTATGGCTATATGCTGTTGACGCGAGAAGGCTGAAAGACTCGTTACTGCAACCAGCTGAGACAATGGAGTAAGATCTGCTTTATAGTAGTATCTGCTGATACGTTGGGCTGTGGCAGAGGAGAGTGCGAGAGCGTGTATTGTAGTAGGGTGCCATGCTTGTGAATGCTGTTTGAGACAATCGAATAAAGAGCATACTGAATGCTGCTAGGTTTGGTTGTGGCAGAGGAATGTACAAGAGGAGGTCCAGTTCCCAGGAGGAAGGCAGGTGTTGTAATGGGATGCACACGCCATGGACATGCCCTTCAGTCAAAGACAATCGGATCCAGACAACTATAGAATGGACATGATGGGTCGAAACAGGATAATCGTTCGCAGTTTGTAGTTGTAGATGAAGGGAGCAACGGTTGCGAATGGAAGAAAGAGACAAGGAAGAGCTGGAAATTTAGGTCTCCTCGGGAAGCTACATAGATTACACACATCCTTTTAGCATCAACATCATCGTTACCCCTTTCAACAATAAATGCCCCACTCATGTTGCGTCTATGAGCATCGTCTTTCATAGATTGCCTTCTCTTTGAAAAAGCATCTGCATCCTTCATGTAGTATATCACTTTTATCACCTCTCCTTCCCATCGCTGCATTGCTTCATAATAAAGTTGTTCCATGCCCACATACCCAAAGAAAATGGCGTCAACATGTACCTGGAAATACGCTAATGCATGTCAGCCAAGGGGTGTTTTTTGGGTCGGTGGTGCAAAAGCATACACATGCTGCATGAAGAGTGGTATTATGCAGGATGTTGTTGATCTACTAGTGTGGCTACATACAGTATACTACCTCGATTTGCGCCCACATCGTGCAGGTGGAAGTTCCATCGTCATTCAATACTCCTGTTGATGATGATGACGTGATAGAATAGCCACTAATACAATATAAATACGCCCATCATTTGTCGTCTGACACACATTTCTTCACCCATTCTTCTTTCACAGTAATACATAATGCATCAAGGGCGCTATTCCTCATCGGCATTACTGTTGCTCTTTGCTTCCATTATGGTTGGATTTATTGCCCCTCCTGTCGTTGCTGTCAAAGTTCACCTATCCAAATCGAAGGAGGAAGCCCTGGCCTACTGTGACGGCATTAAATTCAAGATGTCAAACGGGGAATACTCTCAAGAAGTCATGCACACCTATCAAGCAGTGTATCCTGACCAACAAGGCAACGATGTTTTCTACCATTGTGGCGATAGAAAAGAGTACCCAACCGATGTTAATAGGTCCAAGAAAGATTGTAAAAGCGCCGCGACGGAATATAAGGAAACGCCAAACAAACTCGTACATTACGAATGCCTTTCGGATGGTGGATGGGCCCTTGTAGACTGCAGCCCACACAAAGGCCGTATCATTTGTAGATATCCAGAGCGCGATGAATATCTACAGAACCATCCAGAAGAGTTTGTGGAATATTTAAAGAAGGATGATCCAGAGCTTGTGGAATATTTAAAGGAGGCTCATCCAGAGCTTTTTCGTAATTTGGAAAAGGGGACACTCAACCCTAACGACGTTTATGAGCTTCTTCATGCGGATCAGGAGTTGGGTAAGAAGCAATTGCATAGTAAGACGCAACCACCCTCAGAGCACGTAGAATCGTATTTCAAGGATGCCAAACTGGCAGGGCCGAATGTGATTGACGTCTTTGATTATGGCACCCAAACCAATTAACCCTTGCCAGCACACAAAAACCATTGGGAAAAGTTCAATGAAGCTGAGTTAGCAACATCACCTCAATAAATATATCATAATTGACACAGCCTTATACGCGTACGTATTTCGAATATGTGACACACCGCTGTAAAATCGAAAGCAATCTTGACGAGAATTGTAGTAGTAGAAGGTCGACTCGCATAAACCAATGTGTATACGTAAACCCACCAGTAATCAATTCAATGGAGAGATCTCTTCGCTTTTTCTCTTCTCAAGGTCATCTCACTCCTCCTTATTGTATCACAAATCACTCATGACCGATAACCGGACCACCTTTATTATTCCATCTTCGAAGCAATAGTATGTAATCCACAAGCTAGCAACCTCCAACAAGCGTGTAATAAATAAACAATGCTTTATTTCTTCTAGCTATCTTGCTATGTACTGTACATTGCCACCACCATCCTCGTAGTCGTCTTCCGTCATCATTCCTACTCGTACTCGCCACCAGTTGTCAATCTCATCCGTCACACCAACATCCAAAAATACACAAGTTGAAAAGAATGGGATCTTGCAGGCTTCCTTTTGAATCTCGTTGTCGTCATCATTGTCATTGTTGTGGATGGGGTGATCATCGTAATCGTCATTGTTGTGAATGTGGTAATCATCGTAATTGCCGTCTCTACAAATAAGAAAGCAGGCAAGTTAGACCATCTGATACCGGGAATGATGACGATTTGGTATACCGTTAGGCGATCCTCTCCAAGGAAGAAAGCAAATCAGAAGGAATTCACAAACGAAATCACCATCATACGAGCAACGTTGGGCGATCCCTTGTTCTTGAGAAAGCACTGCACAAATCACGCAAGGCCAGTTCGATCCATGGCAAGGAAGGACATGACTTACGTAGAGTCCAGGCTCATAGTTGTTCTCATTCATCCTCTCCAAAGAAAGAATGATCCCCAATCCTTCCAATCATTTCCCGCCTCATGAAAAGAAATCCTCAAGGGAAAGAACGAGCCTATCACGAGAAGAGCGCGTTGGTCCAACACATTCACAAGCTGTTGCAAATCCCCTTTTACCCTCAACACGGGTGACCATGCTCTTCCAAAAACCCATCGTCGTCGACCCATCAACTCAAACACAGGCCTATAGAGCCCTGGACGCGTTCCAAGAAGCCTTTCCAGCACACTTGGCTAGTGCAGAGCGACGCAGCGGCCACTTGATACAGGCTGGGTCTTGAACCCAAAGAGATGATGACGATGATGCCCCAAGTTGCATTGCCTGACCAAAGAAACCTATACAATTCATTATTAGCACACACACAATAAACACCCTTTTCATTGTTTGTTTCATTGTACTTGCCTTTTCCATATACACAAAGACCCGTTGTTGTTGGTTACTGGAAAACGAAAACCATGGTGTAGTATAGTTGAGCCGAAACAAAACGCCAAACCAGCCAACGTCTTGAAACCAAACTTGCCCTCTATACAAGCTGACGCGTCAATAGAACCAATTCGGCTGCAACATTGGACTCTGAATGTACCTGTTGACACCAAGCGTAGAGCGGGAATAGCAACGAGCAAAAGGAAGCAACCATATCGCCATGGCAACCACCAACCAACAACGCTCATTCCTCGGCACTTTGGACACACTCACTCCCTGACAATGCATGTTCAGAACTACATTAACTCCTCACAGCCAACAAGAGCACTCTTTTATAGTACATTACCTTGATCGCAATGTCGTGAATGGAATAAGGAAAAGTGGGAGAAAAAGGAGAGAAGCGTTGTCTCAAGTCGTGGAGCTACCGACCCCCAAGTTTAAATCCCCTACTGCTATTACACTGAGGCCACTCAATTACCACCCCCAACACACACACCATCCACCCATCGTCATCATCACCCTCTGGATAGACAACAGGTACACGTAAATAAAAGAAATGATCCTCACGTATAGCAAAAGGGTGTGTGCCATTTTACACTTTACATGATAATGATGATCCAACAACAGCCATTGCGTTACTACCAGGTTAGCTCGAATCATGAAAGTTAAATGATGGGCATGCTGGGCTGTAGCAGGTGAATCGTTCGTATGCATTGGATCGGGTAACAAAGGTGAATGGGAGGACTAAGGTTATTAGCTGGCATTTTCAACTATTCCTAAATAGTGTACAAGAATCATGCATCGCCTGTGCTGAATGACTCAAGTTACACAAACACGCCCACTGCATCTTTTGCTCTATTATAGTCATACTACTTTACGTTAAACAAAGACCACTTTTCATATAGCATCACGCTTACAACATAGTAAAAACATGAAGACGCCTGTATCTCTAAACTTTACAATGAAACGTGGGGTTTTGAATAGAGCAATGTGAGTTTCACGATCAAGCTTGCCAATCCCAGATTTCGCAATGTCGCTACCAGCCAAACTGGACCTGGGTGGTCGACCTCTTGCATTTTTTTCGATGACGACCAAAGAATTATTTTTTGGGCTGTTTGCGACATTGAACGTGAAACTTGCACACAAGGTGCTGTTGGCCAAGCCGAGCACGTTGATCTATTAAAGAGCCCACGTTTGATTGTAAAGTTTGGAGATACAGGCACCTTTATGTTTTACCTATGCTGTAAGCGTGATGGAGTTGCTTTTTCCTAGTGGATGGTGTCGGCTGCATTAACGGAAAGATGAAGAGCTGAGTGAAACGGCACGTGGTGGTTACACTAACGCGTCCTTGACAGGTTGCTGCACAAATGGATGATGATGATGATTGCCTTTTGTGAAGGTACGTAAGTAAACAGCATCCAATAATGAAGGTGTGTCAATGTATGTATCACATTTGCATGTAGAAGAAAGCCGAGCTGCATAAACCAATTTGTATATGTAAAAAGATACGTATACATATTGAATGAGTCACTCATCCTGAAACTCAATGGAGGGATCACTTCACTTTTTTTTCTTCTCAAGGTCATCTCACTCCTCCTTATTGTATCACAAAAGCTATATACCTCTTGCATGGCCGATAACCGGACCACCTTTATTATTCCATCTTGGAAGCAATAGTATGTAATCCACAAGCTAGCAACCTCCAACAAGCGTGTAATAAATAAACAATGCTTTATTTCATGTAGCTATCTTGCTATGTACTGTACATTGCCACCACCATCGTCGTAGTCGTCCTCCGTCATCATTCCTACTTGTACTCGTCACCAGTCGTCAATCACCTCGTTACCTCCAATATCCAAAAGGCACACAAGTAGAAAGGAACGTGATCTTGCAGGCTTCTTTTTGATTCTCGTTGTCGTTATCATCATTGTCATTGTTGTGATAGCATTAGGTGTCAAATAGCAGTTGGATGATGATCGTTGTCCATGCTTGGCAGGTGCCACAAGGATGATGATATTAACTCTCATGAAAAAGTACAATAGCTGATTGCACCAATCGTCCAGGATGATAACATCACAGTCAAGTTGACAATAAATACATAAGAACAAGGCTCTCTTCCCACGTGTGGTGTACATTCACATCCTTCCATTCCCCCATGCACCAACGAAATATCCATATCCATATGCCAAAGAAATCGTATGTATTGGAGTGAGTTGCTATACGTATGTGAAAACCGCTCCTATACTATGGCTATATGCTGTTGACGCGAGAAGGCTGAAAGACTCGTTACTGCAACCAGCTGAGACAATGGAGTAAGATCTGCTTAATAGTAGTATCTGCTGAACGTTGGGCTGTGGCAGAGGAGAGTGCGAGAGCGTGTATTATAGTAGAGTGCCATGCTTGTGAATGCTGTTTGAGCCAATGGAATAAAGAGTATACCAGTAGCAACTGCTGGAAGGAATGCTGCTAGTTTGGTTGTGGCCGAGGAATGTACAAGAGAAGGTGAAGTGTCCAGGAAGAAGGCAGGTGTTGTAATGGGGTGCACACACCATGCATTAGCCCTTCAGTCAAAGACGATCGGATCCAGACAACTATAGAATGGACATGATGGGTCGAAACAGGATAATCGTTCGCAGTTTGTAGTTGTAGATGAAGGGAGCAACGGTTGCGAATGGAAGAAAGAGACAAGGAAGAGCTGGAAATTTAGGTCTCCTCGGGAAGCTACATACATTTCAGACATCCTTTTAGCATCATCGTCATCGTTACCCCTTTCAACAATAAATGCCCCACTCATGTTGCGTCTATGAGCATCGTCTCTCATAGGTTGCCTTCTCTTTGAAAGCATCTCCATCCTTCATGTAGTATATCACTTTTATCACCTCTCCTTCCCATCGCTGCATTGCTTCATAAAGTTGTTTCATGCCACATACCCAAAGAAAATGGCGTCAACATGTACCTGGAAATACGCTAATGCATGTCAGCCAAGGGGTGTTTTTTGGGTCGATGGTGCAAAAGCATACACATGCTGCATGAGGAGTGGTATTATGCAGGATGTTGTTGATCTACTAGTGTGGCTACATACAGTGTACTACCTCGATTTGCGCCCACATCATGCAGCTGAACTCCCATCGTCATTCAATGCTACTCCTGATGATGACGAGGACGTGATAGAATAGCCACTAATACAATATAAATATGTACACCCATCATTCGTCGTCTGACACATTTCTTCACCCATTCTTCTTTCACAGTAATACATAATGCATCAAGGACGCTATTCCTCATCGGCATTACTATTGCTCTTTGCTTCCATTATAGTTGGATTTGTTGTACCTCCTGTAGTTGCTGCCCAAATTCACCTATTCAAATCGAAAGAGGAAGCCCTGGCCTACTGTAACAACCCTAAATCGATGATCGAAGGTGAAAACTCTCAACAGGCCAATTACGCCTATGGTGTAGTGTATCCAGATCAACAAGGCAACGATGTTTTCTACAATTGTGGCGATAAAAACGAGTATCCAACCGGCGTTAATAGGTCCAAAAAAGATTGTAAAAAGGCCTCGATTAAATACAAGGATACGCCGGAGCCAGCCTTACGTTATGAATGCATTTGGAGTGGTAGATGGGTCCTTGTACAATGCAACCCAGGAGATGGTCGTCCACCTTGTATACCTCTAGAGCTTAAGGACTATGTACAGAGCCATCCAGAGCTTCTTCGTGCTTTGCTAAAGCAACAAGCATTCAGCTCTGATGATGTTATGCATAAATTCCAGGAGGTTGAAGATTCTTATTCCAAGGCGGATAAAAAGCTGCACGAGATCTTACGTGGTGCATTATCCTATTACCATCACTCCAAACAGAAATTGGTGGATGGAATTAGCAGCTTTTTCGGTACCCAAACCAATTAATCCTTGTCAACAAACAAAAACCATTGGGAAAAGTTGAATGGAGCTGGATTAGCAACGTCGCCTCAATAAACAGTTCGTAATTGATGCAACCTGATACATTTACGCATTTCAAATATATGACACACCGCTACATAAATGGAAGCAATCTTGACGAGAATTGTAATCTAGAAGCTTTAGATGGATAAACCAATGACTCCCAAGTATTGGTGGCTGATCCTACGCCAAATAACCATAACTTGCATAAATGGCTGCAGGAACATTCTCACTCAAAGTACTGGTAATTTGTAAAGATATAAGCGGAAGATCAATTGTTTAGCAGTGGTTGTGGGATGGAGTGACAAATATGCATGAACTATATACAAGGGGCAACTTACAAGACGTAGTGACTATCATAGATCATGAATGACAATGGAAATGCTTGTATGAAGTGTTGAAACTTTGGCAGGGTGTAAGATCATAGGATGTGGCAACTGACTTTGAATCCGGTAGGGTACACTAGGTACGGTGGAGTGCACAAAAATTTGTTCCGGTTGCTCTTTAAAAACCTTTTTGACATGCGGCCTCACCTTGGAAACAGCAAACCAAAGCAACCATTTCGGCCCAATGGTCAAGCCAAAGTCAAGAAGCATGAGCATACGAATGCAGCAACCAAGAACAACACCTCGATCCGGTTACCGCTCTTTGATCGTAGTCGATTGCAACCAAAGTGGAAGACGACTCGACGTGTGGGCCCAGGTCTTATCAACGGCCAAAACACATGTTTCCTCAACTCGGTGCTGCAATGTTTGACGTATACGGCTCCTCTTGCCCAGCATCTTTTGACAGCAAAGCATAAAAACAAGTGTATGTCCAAAAGGAGGGATAGGTTGTCATGGAGATCATAACATTGACTATTTTCATGCTCAGGCAAGATGCCCGGATTTTGTGCTCTTTGTGCCATGGAAACTCATGTTCATCGTGTGTTTGAAGGATCCAAAGGAAAAGGCGCCATTCTTCCAAAATACTTTACTTCCAATTTGCAAGGTAGGAAACAAGATATGGATAGGTGGGATTCCTTGCTGATGATATGCATGCATTATTAGCTTTGTCAAAGACACTCAAGTTGCGACGTCAAGAAGATGCTCATGAATTCCTCATGTTTGTATTCACTGCATTTCAAAAAGCATTATTGCAAGGTCTTGGGTAAGGAAGAACAATGGGGCCAAGTCCATACATATCCTGATTTGGGCGATTCCATTATAGCAAGGTACCGCCCAAGGTGGAAGAATCAACCATGTTGCATGGCATTTTTGGTGGTCGTATCCAATCACAAGTACGCTGTTTCAGTTGCAATCATCGATCCAACACATACGAGGCGCTTCTTGACTTGAGTGTGGACATTCACCATGCACATTCGTTGGAGCATGCACTGAAGCGATATATCAAAATGGATAAGATTGGAGGCAGTGATCCAGATAGCAAGTATAAATGTTCAGGGTATGTTTTATACATATAGGATTGGAGATCAACGAGGGTTATTGACATGTATATCTATAGGTGCAAGCAAAAAGTGAATGCTGGCAAGCAAATGACCATCCGTGAACTTCCAATGACCATGGCCATCCACCTCAAACGATTTACTTTTGATATGCAACGAGGCTACATGCGCAAAGTATCCGATCGGATCAAATACCCCGAATTCCTCGATATGGCTGCCTATCTTAGTCCTGAGACGAACAAGCAACAAAAAGGATCATCGAAATACAGGCTCTATGCTGTATTGGTACATCTTGGACACAGCTGCAATTCTGGACATTACTATGCCTATGTAAAGAACTCGGATGGACAATGGTATATTATGGATGATGAAGATGTAAGTTGATGGTTTGTTTGGAAAGCATGGATTGCTATGGATACCTATATTGACACTTTATGTCTATCTAGGTCCATCCAGTTTCTCTCAAAGAGGTCATGTCACAACAAGCCTATATCTTATTTTATGCCAATGATACTGGCAAGGTTGCTGCTACTACACCCGCCGCCAAGGAACAATCGAATGACACAAAGACCGCCATTGCACCATCAATATCCACCAAAGAAAAAGAGAACAATGACGACACACATGTACAGCAACCCAATGGCATTGCTGAGAAACGCAAGGCACGTGATGAAGAAGAAGAGGAGGAGGTGCAATCATCAAAGAAGAAGCTTAAGGATGAATTTGAGAAGGGTGATGATGTCATTGCCGATCGTCCTCAAGATTGGTTTGTTCGTTCCTCTGCATTACCCTATCGATCGCTTCGTGGTAGATATTCACCCGATACCTATGGTGCTGCCCTTTCTCATCCAAGTGCATGGGTTGTTCGTCCTATTGATCAGCCGCTTACCGATGATGACCGAAAGAGTTTAGTCACACCTACTCCTCGTACATGGCGTAAAAAGCCTTCTACATGGCATATTGTATAATGGTCTCCAACACACACCCACATCCACACATACACATACAATGAAACTTGGCATAATCAAAACGTTTGATCCTATATTTGGAATGATGGCCCCCTTTATTCGTTCTATATACGTGTTGCCTTGTAGAAGACTACTATTGCTATCGTCGTCTTGGATCGGAAGGAATACGGGGATTAAGTCGTGGGTCACGTGAACCTGTACGCTGCATTGGTATTGAGGATAAGATGGGTGATGATGGTTGTCCTGGTGGCGTAGAAGGTCCTGGTGGTGTTGAAGATCCTGGTAGTGCCTCTGATGAACGTGCAAGTTGTTCGACTGCATTCCCAATGTTCTTTACATCCTCTGCATATGATATTTGTGCGTATTCCATCGTTTGCATCGCATTCGTGTAAATATGATCAAACTCTCCATCATAGATGTCCTAATCACCCACATTAGAAATAGCTCCCCATAGCCATACTCCTACTACTATTACCCGTACCTCTAACTTTGAACGATAAATGGCATCTCCAGTGTTGGGGGTATTGGATGCTGGTGTTTTTGTTGTTGTCGTTGTTGTTGTCGGCTCTGGCTTATTCTCTGCAATCATTTTTCGTAGTCGTGCCATTTTCTCTGTAATGGATCTGCTGTTGTCTTTAAGGTAGCTGTTGCCAGACGACATGATATAATAGCGTTTCCTTGGCACCTTCAAATAGGCTCCATCGACCTGATTTGCAAATGAATACTGGAACTGGTCCAATTCGGCAGTTGTACGAATGATCGACCTTTCAAGGCCGCGTCGTTGCCTTCGTTTGAGTGCTTCGCGAGCTCGAATGACATCGTCGGCAGACAGCTGTTCTTTGGGGAATGCGTAGAAATCGTGATCGTTCCTATATAGAATCGAGTTAGCCTTTGTTTATCTCTCCATAAAGTGTCACCTACTTTGTAGGGATTTGCTCGTCCCAGTAGAGCTTTTCTTGTGCGGCATCCATTTGCGTTTGTAAAAGAAAGAGACTTACTGAAGATATCCATGTCGCACAAATCAATGCATTTTGATTCTCTAACGATGACTACTATCTACAATGAATATCTCTCTTCTTTCTTCTTGTCCTTTATCGCCCTTCCTCTATGTAGGAACATTAAAGATGGATGTTTGTGCGCTTTGACTCTGTTTTATCCACCCTTCCTTTTGACTTGCTATGTACATTCGTCCATTGCCATTGTTTTGGATACTATTATAACTGGGGCATGTCATCACACCCACGAGTCCCCCGTGTATTGCAGGGAAAGCCCATATCATGGGTATTAGTAAGCACAATGTGCTCCGAACATGTATCGTCTCGTAAATTTGGATATAGATATCTCATGCTTTATAATACGACCAAAAAATGTACACTTGTTATCATCTAACTGGCTTCCTCAATTGTCTCCTTAAGTTCACCGGATGCGACCAATTCCTTGACGATATCAAGACCACCAATCAACTCGCCCTTAACGTACATTTGGGGATAGGTGGGCCAGTTAGAGTATGCTTTGAGACCTACAAGGAAAAGTTAATCATCACAATCCCTTCAATTTTGGTTTGTTTATTGTACCTTGTCGCACTTCTTCATCCATGAGAATGTTGAATGAGCTGTATTTCACTTGTTGCTCGGCAAGGATGTCAATGAGTTGGCGGGTGAAACCGCAGCGAGGCTAAATTAAGAAAAATGTCAACATGATCCTTACAACACCACTCCATTACTAATACTTTACCTGTGAAGGAGTACCCTTGATAAAGACCATCACATTTGCACTCTCGATAAGCTCCTTGAGACGTGAATTGAGATCCTTGGCAGGCTTCACATCGGCATCTCCTGTTGCCTTGGTTCCTGACACACCCTTGGCATGCTTGGCCACGACATTGGTCACCTCAGCAGCCTTGGCACCTTCCACACGTTCAACGATTTTGCCACCCTGTATACATATGATACATCATAAGAAGACAATCCTCGACAAAGTGTCATCCATCATAGCGTTGCTACCGCTACCTACCTTCAACACAATAACAGTGGGCACAGCTGCAATCTCGTACTCTTCAGAAATGTCAGCAAAGTTCTCGGCTTCGATCTATCGTCAAGAGTCAGATCATTCCCATAGCAATGGCCAATGAAGGTTGCCAGGTTACCTTGAGAAATTGCAACGAGGAGAACTTGCCAGCGAGTTCAGCGATAACGTCGTTCATTTGTTTGCAAGGCTCAGCCCATGGTGCCCAAAAGTCGAGTACGATGACGGCGTCCTTTTTGGAAATCAAGGAAGAGAATTGGTTGTCGCTTGTGATATCCACGAGGTTGCTCATTGTTTGGTTGGTTGGTTGGTGTCAAAAGCAAAAGGAAAAAGTAAGTAACGGTAGCTTGGTGATCGGGTGAATGTAAGTCGGAGATGCCGATCCGATGACGATGTCTCAGATCCTTCTTTCATTATCATTTCATTTCTCTTTTCTTGCATTGGAATACCAGGTGTCACCGTACAACATCAACACCTTGCGAAGATTGGATGCCTTATCAAACAAACAATGTTGGGGATTATCATCAAGATGGATAGTGGTATGATCTCTACATAGGTCAATGGACGCTTATAGAGTTGCTACACTTTCCTGATCTTGTCCATTTTTTCCCTTCACGCTCCTTCATCAGCTTTATTTACATAGCTCTCCACTCCTCCTCATTTCAAATCGCATCATCATGAATAAAACAGCAAAGTTTATGGGCATTTGAAGGTTACAATACGTCTACCCAATTAGATAGTGGAAGATGGGTAGTGCCCGTATCACTGATAATCGTGCTTTTTCGGTCTTCTTGATGTCCTTGATCATCTCATGGTTTCGTTGCTTGTACATATCCTGGACTAGGGCGGACGTGAGATCGCGATCACAAATCATCTGCAACCAACGTCCATGGGGACATTCTTTCTTTACCTATATAGTGAGCATCAGCATGAGGTATTGTGTTGCAATACAGCATAGGATTTAGGAATGCTCTGTTTAATGCCGTAGTCCTCTTGTATGTCGATTCTTCCAGTCTTTGAGCGAAGCTGTGTATGTACAAGCCCACTTTAATATGTAGCTCTTCTCAAGAGAGAAATCTATCGAATACAAGCTAAGAAAAGGTGGGACGTAATAATATGATCTTCTATACTTGGCTATGTTGAAAGCTGTATTCTTGTGACAAGCCAGAAAGGTAATATACGTCTTATTACTATTAGGGTGTCGTGGTGACAAATACAATACATTTACATCCTTGAAGAAACAGCTGGGAAGAGTAATGAGTGATTTATTGATTATTGATCAAGGAAGCTTGTTCAACTCAAAGCTAGTACTATTCCAATGGGCGGAGGACCCCCGATGATGTACATAATCAAGCGCATAAATCAGCCTGTTGCGGAACGCACGAGCCTCCGACAATGGCTATTGATGGAACCAAGTATTGCCAATGATAGAAAGTTGTCATTTACGAACAAGAAGAAGAATAAACCATCCAAGACAATGATAAGGCATCTCGTGATGAGAAGGTGCTACGATAGTGTTTCAGCGGTGTCACCTTGCTCGGAACTGCTGATGTCTCTAGTTAGCCTGCTCGCTCACTCTTTTACCTTGGTTTTTCCGATTCCGCATACAACAGCGACGTTGCGTGGTTATCTTTCACACTTATTCCTTCCACACACAGCAACCACACTATGGCGTCTTCAGACGAGAAACCCGAGAAATATGTCCGTGGAGTGTCCTTCGACGCAATGACAGACAAGGATCTTCCCAATTATTCATTCACCTTGAGAGGAAAGACACCCGGCTACAAGCGCACTCGTCGCACTAGAACGTTTATGGTCGCTACCGATCTCGCCAACTACAGCGAATACGCATTAACATGGGCAAGCGATGTAAGACACACGCACTCTCTCCCTCTGTAGCTTTGACCTTTTCAATGCTGACAACATGGAACAATAGGAAGTTATGGACGATGGCGACGAGATCATTGTGTTGCGAGTGGTTACAGTCGATATGAACGGTAAAAATGACTTAATCACGCGTCACCTGGGACCCCCGTTTCATTGATGAATATGCATAGACAAAAAGGGAAACATCCAAGCCTTATTACAGCAAGAGGAACGACAAGCTCGAGAAAACGCATCTATTGTTATGGAAAGGATCATGGCAAATAGTGGCCCAGATAAAAAGGTAAAAGAATGATATGGGATCTAATAATAGCAATGGGTGATGTTAACATGGCCATTAGATCAGTGTCATTATCGAGTTTGTTATCGGGAAGGTGCAGGAAACGATTCAGCATATGGTAAGTGATCATTAGGGAGGAAGTCAAGAATGATGCTTATCCATGTCTTTGGATTAGATTTCCATGTATCAGCCATCATTGCTTATTGTCGGCACTCGTGGTCTTTCTGAATTCAAGGGGATGTTGTTGGGAAGCGTATCCAAATATTGTCTACAACATTCGCCCGTCCCTGTTACAGTTGTTCGGCCTGATGACAAGATCAAAAAGTACAAGGTCAAGAAGAATAGGCTGAGTGGGTTGATGCGACTCGGGAGTGGATCAGGATCTCGAGGCTCCACAAGTGAATCATCAAGCGATGAGGATAGCACCATACAGCCCGTAGAGAAGAAGATGAATCGATTGTCATTTATGGGACGACGCTCTCGCTCTCCATCACCCTCTCCACGCAGATCCAAGTAGCCCTTTATATACATGTAATAACCAACATCACCTTTTGCTTTGGGATTAAAGATGCCAACTTTATTTGAGACTATAATATGCTTTGATACGTCATGTTGGAAAGAACTGCTTCTATGATGATGAGGATCGTGGTGATTGGTAATAGCGCGTCGAGGATACTTGTGCGGTGATGTACGACCAGAATGACCACGCCAAGATTTTGCCATCATCTCCACCATTCTGTTAGACATAAACATATAGTTCCATCAAGCGACCTTCTTGGTTGGCTCATCAGAGACACATCATGCATCACAAGTAGCGTTGTAGCAAATAAACCGGATCTTGACGAAATAGCATAGCCGAGAGTATTGGTTGTCGAATAAAACGTCCAAAGTATTCGTTTAGGTACTTGGGAAATGGTATCCACACGATGAGGGGTGAAAAGAGGGATCACAGTAGAGCCGATAAGGAACGGATGCCATGATGAACGACCGATAAAAGAGACCAGTTGCAGGTTGATTATTTCATAGTATCATCGAAACGGCACTTGACAACCACATCCATAAGGTAAACGAATACCCTGATATCCCAAAGACCGCTTGCTTGATGCACCCGATATACTCTCCAAAAGTGGAATGTTGATAATCATTTTCAAAGCAGCAGGGACTCGCCAGTGATAACTATCAGGAAAGCAAAGAGATCTTCATGATGGCACAAAATAGATAATTTGCTAAGAAGATTGACCTGTGAATGTGTACATTAGTCATTGAACTTTGAAGTGATCATACAATACTTACATAGCCAATGACATACGATAATGAACGATCACATCCAAAAAGCCAAAACCCAGCTTCGCTGTCGCAGAGACAACCATCCAAACAGAATACTGATAGCCATTTTTCAAAGGAATGGAACGTTACTTGATGAAGAAGCCCTTGAGGGATGGATAAACCTTTGCTGGTACCCCCAAAAAAATGTACATTGTTGCTCGTTGCTGATACGATTCACGTGTAGGAAACGCTGCATTGGAAGATGTCCATCCAAACAAGTGACCGATAACTCGAACCACCAGATGATGGAATAACGTTCGCTGACACCGGAAGACGCTGCTGTTTTCTTGCTCATTGTGGGCATGATCCATGGCATGAGAGATGTGGGATGACAGTTGTCCATTAAGGTCAAGTAGAATCACAAGATGATGGGATGGCGATTGATGACACCAAATGATACGTAGTATGCTTGGTTGTTGCTGATACCATCCACTTGTAAGAGCTGACAGATGTCTATTGAAGGAATTGGCCAACGCTTGGAAAGACGAAGCACCAGGTGATGGGATAACGCTAGCTGAATCCAATCTCAATGTGAGATAACAACCAAAGTACTTGCTTTTCTTGCCAACATACCCAAATGAGACAATGTGAAAACGTGCTGGGGCATCTCCCTGGAGATATCCATGGAAACGATACGTACACACGATGGCTTCCCTTGGATCTTGTAACGATAGAGCAACAACCATACGTAAACTTTAGTATGACAATATCCAACTTGAATAACGAAGCAATTCAGCGATTGAACGTACTTGTTGTAGTATTACAAAATGGGAGCTTGAGTCATGGGTAGATCGCCCGCGTACTTTTGAAAGAGTCAAGGTATCGCTTCCTTTTCCATCCGGTTGTTGGTATCTCTCTTTCTCGATCATTTCTTTGCAGCTCAACCAGGTGAAGATCGCTTGTATAGTAATGTACTTGGCAGCTGATATAGAATCATCCAAACCAACTCGTATGCATTGAAGCAAGTTGCTGCACGTAAATAAAGCTGCTGCTATACGATGGCTACCTGCTGTTCATGTAAAGAAAGACTGCTGCAAGTAACTTGAGACAGTGGAGTAAAGACCTTGCTAGCTGCTACGTATTGTTGTGGCCGAGGAGTGTGCAAACGCGTGTGTTGTAGTAGAGTGACAAGGTTGTGAACGCTGTATGAGACAATGGAAAGACCTTGCTAATAGCAACTGCTGCAATGAATGCTGTATCGTTTGATTGCCGTCGATGATTGCACAAGAAAAAGTGAAGTGTCAAGAAACGCGTGTGTTGTAGTGGGGGTGCACACGCATGGACTTGCGATTGAGTCAAAGACAATCGGATCAAGGCAGTTGTAGGATTGACATGATGGGTAGCAGCAGGACAATCGTTCGCAGGTGGTAGTTGTATACTTGAATGGGGCAACAGTTGAGGGTGGGAGGAAGAGGGAAGAGCTGAGAGTGGAAGAAGTGGAAAGTAAATCGGTCGGACTCCTCTTGTGTAAATGCATGAACACTGTACATCCAAACCTTGATATTGAGATTGTCCCTTTCGAACCTGAAACGTGCATACAAGATGATCTTGGACATACTGATCAATATTGTTTTGAAAAAGACATCATGTTCATTTAAAAATATTGAATGGGAGGGTACAATGTGGGATTACTATGGAGATCGGAAAACATGGCAGCGCCGGATTCATGATCTATGGAAATAGTATGTATTACCTTGGGATTCCCCATCTCGAACATGAAACTTTGTCAGAAGGTTCGCTGGGTCATGCTGATCGACTGCATTCATTTAAAATTGACAGACTTCATTGTGAAGATTTAAAATGCGGGGCCGATCCAAATGGTGGATGACGGGAACAAAAGAGCGGACGGCCCACCGCCCCGAAGTTGCTCACTTCCAACTTGAAAATTGGTCAGAATGGTACTCTCGAGCATGCTGATCAACTCTTTCTTAACAAAGCCTCGCGCTTCATTTGAAAATTTGGAATGGGAGCTCCCAAAAGTTTGAAAGACGGAGACATTCGCAGACCCTGCGATTCATTAATTTTCATGTTTGCTGTACCAGCGTAACTCTGTCAAATGGGCTCGGATCAAGAAACTTGAATGCTGGAAATGCTCGGCTGGAGCAGAAGAATCGTTCACATGCAGTGGATTTTGCAACAACGCCGATTGTGAGGAAATGGCTGTTAGCGTGCACTATATGGACTATTGTGGATAGACCATAAAGTATAATCCATCAATCCTTCCAGTCATGCAAAGTAGCTGTGTTACACGAACACGTCCCTCTGCATCTTTTGCTCTGTCAGGGTCCAGCTACTTCACAATGAACAAGGACCACTTTGCATATAGCATCACACTTACAAACATAAAGGTGCCTGCATCTCCAAACTTTACAATGAAACGTGGGGTTTTTATTAGCGCAATGTGCTCGGCTTGGCCAACTGCACCTTGGGTGTCAGTTTCACGATCAAGCTTGCCAATACCAGATTTCGCAATGTCGCCACCAGCCAAACTGGACGGGGATCGACCTCGAGAATTTTTTTCGACGACGACCAAAATTTTTATTTTGCCAGGTAGCGACATTGGGTGTGAATCAGGGAATGGTCATGATGGCTTGAGACTTTGACAGTGGGTGTATTCAGGCACGCTGAGCAACATTGTTCTATTCAAGACCCCACGCTTGATTGTAAAATTCTTAGTTACAAGTGTCTTTATGTGTTTACTATGCTGCAAGCGTGCTGCTATACGAAAGTGGTCTTTGTTCATTGTCAAGTAGATGGACCCTAGATAGAGCCAAAGATGCAGAAGAGGGGCGGCGTGTTTGTGTAACAAAACCGGGAGGACGGTCAATCCATTGGTGGAAAGATGCATGAATTAGCTCCACCCACTATACGCCTACACAGATGTGTCGATTTTCATCTTCCTCTTATCATCGTCACCAACTCCATTGTAATAATAAATAGGGCCATCATGTTGTTGTTGATCATCTTGATGATGATGGTGGGGTGACGCTCCCGAACCATGTACTCCAGCACAGGGAGTTTTCTTGTCTTTATCACCAGAGCTGACGATTTGTACGTAACTTCTTGTCGTTACCAGCGCCAGTGTAATAATAAATAACGGTTTTGTGATTTGCTGCACTAATTACACGAGTAAAGGAAACTGAATAAAAATACGACAAGGATCATCCAAGCACTGACTTTCATAGTCGTTTGCGAAAAAAATGATGTTGGGATAATCTTGGGACACTATTCCTCTTAATACGAGTGTGAATGGCGTTGTGCTTTGCATCATGCTATGACCCAATGTCGTTTATGTAACCTGTACATACACTGAAGATGATCAAATCCATACCCTTTCTTCAATTCGGCGTCGCTTCCTTCACCGATCTATAGGAGCGGCGTTCTTTCGCCAGCGTGCAGGGTATAGTAGACCATCTAATTCAACGCTGCATATGCACATCGGGAGGTATAGCTATATCAAAAAGGATTGTGGGTATGAGCTTCATCAAGCAACGTGATTGGGATTTACCTTAATAGAAGAGCCAAACATCAAATGACAATGAATGTAGGAAACAAAGGACAACGCTAAAGATCATCACGCATTAGCACAAGGATCACTCGCAAAAGGACTATCCACCATGCACACTCATGTCAACTTGGCCTTTGAAGGTGTCAGGCATCCAAAGAGAGATAGGATGGAAAGAAAGAGATGAGTGGGAGTAGAACGATGGGCGACAACACCCCTCTTGTTTAATTATGCATGGTGGGTGTGTATTTCTGCTGTGACCATAAAAAGGTGGAGAAAGAGTGTTGAAATGAATGATGAGCTGATTGATAGGTGGGGGTTCATTCACAAAGAGGGTTGGCATTATTGATTGTCCATTCATAAATCAGGAACAGAGATAAACAAGGTGACAACATCCATCATTCAACAATGACATCAATCAAGTCGCTTGCTGTGCTCAGCCGAGCAAAGTAAGTCATTGGTGGAGGATGTTTGCATGATTGTGCTTTTCAAATGGTAAAGTGGATGGCACCTTCATTGATAACATAATAAACACGCGTACAGTTGAGAACCGCCAATGCCTATTGTCTACCAGAATGGGAATTACATAGGAAACTCCATCGAGTGGAAGGTGACAAAAACGTCTCGATACGATGACGTAAATGATCCGATCTCGCTTCCTGACCTTCAAATTTCTATTCCCCCTTTCCAACCCAAGTGATCCACGTCTCGCACATATAAGCTGATACCACAATACCCTTCTGAATAGCACGTTGAATCCATTTTCATTCAATGAAAAAGTCGAAGAATAGCATATGGTCGTGTGGGTGTTTATCAAATAAAGATGGTAAAGTAATAGCATTGCAAGTTGACTACGATACGAATGAACCACATTGAGGCCACAGGGATAATGGTGTCATTGCATTCTTGGTTGCTGCCGTCATAAACATCCTTCATCCATGATCGAAAAATAGCTGCTGCGTGCATTGACTTGAGTATTCCAATACCATCCATGGCTGCAAAACACCTTCCATCCATTCCATCCACTCCATCATTATCCTCAGCGGTATCCATGTGATCGTTCCTGATGATGAACGCGCCAAGTAACCAAGGCAACATCCCAAGGACTCCCATCACTGCATTTGATTGTATCCATTCATCCATCCATAACCATTGCAAATCCAAATGTTGGTTGAAAGACCCATGTGATCGCTGCTATATGCTTGCTTTTCCCTACAGCTGTTGATATCCCTCTTCCTCATTGGAGCTCGGCGAGAATGAAGATTGCTTGTATTGCGTATATGGGACCATCCAAGTTGAACATCACGCTGTCTAGTTCAATCAATAATCCTCGTTGTTAATCACCATTCCTTGATCAATGCACCCATCTTTTGTACCTTGATAAATGAGTGAATCATAGTACAAAGCCCTGGTAATAGCGCCCTGTTGGATGTTGATGCTGGTCCAAGGTACATGAACAGGTGATGACATAATGATCGTATCGCATGGATGTTGTGTGATAGATTAAGCTGACCGACACGTTGCAGTAGACGCATATCTGAACTGGTTGCTTGTTGTCACCAAGCTTGAAAAGGAACTCGAGCTCATGTTCGTTGCATAACTCGTAAGGAATGAGAGCCGAAGAAGGTGCCATGTATGTAATCGCTATCATCGTCCGAGACCAAATCGTAGTGAAAAAGTTGCTGCTGTTGTCATTGTGCTGTCGTAATGCAGTTGAGGAAGAAGGAGAAGAGTAGTAGAAATCAAAGAGAGCGCTGAATTGAATTTTACCCTGCCCACCTGGTACCTTTTCACCCCTTGTGTATCACCCACCTCCAAATGTTACCGCATCATTGCCCAGGCAACCACAATGAGCGATTTTTTACAAGCAGGCGTATGTTCTAGCCCTCGAAATAGGTGTCGTTCATTATCAAGTTAGAAAGCGGTTGCGAAAAAGTGAACTCGTTGCTACGGAGTGTGGAGTTGCATGATGATGGATGATCGTCTGTGCATCATGCACGTGCCATTTTGCAGCTTTTTCATTTGTGGTGGATAGATGCTTTTTGACAATGAGTTGCGCAACAACATTATTGAGATTCGACAACTACGAGACTCGATGACAACAAAGATAATGCTTGGGAAAGAACATTTATCCATTAGGAATGTGTCTATGTATATTTACTTGGGGGAGGAACTATGTAAGAAGAAGGGTTGAAAGCTATATAATTACAATTTGGCGGATTCAAGAGATGATAAGGGATGATGGATACCGGTGGGTGGTACTTTGACATTGAAAAACGTATGGACAGCAGCAACAAGTGCATCTACCTGCTCAAATGTATTGTGACCATGGAGACAAATGCGTACACGTTCTTGACCCTTTGGGACAGTTGGGGAGCAAATCGGTTTGACAATGAAACCTTGTTTGTTCAAGTACTTGGCAAGCGATCGTACAGGTGCATTACCTAAATGAAAAATCTCCGTGCATGAGATAAAACCACAAAAGATCTCCCGCATCTTCCCGCCCATACCATTAAGGACAATCCCTTGAATAGGACTTGCTGAAGGAAGTAAGGTACCCATTGGCAAGTAAATGGTTTCTCGGAACCGACGAGTGAGAAGATGTACATGTTCTTGAATCTAATCAACATAGGTTGATATATATAAGATGTTGATTCATCCATATACCATCCACCCATCAATATACTTACAGGAATGGTTTCTCCACTAGCCAGCATGTCGTAAGCACACTTGATACTTGCCAAGCTTGAGAATGACATGAAAGTGGAATAAATAAGAGGACGTGCATAATTGATAAGATATTCGCGTAGTATGCTGGAACCGAGAATGACCGCTATAAGCAGATATGAGTATGCTTCTTCATGTGTATACGTTTCCTTGGTGATTTTACCTCCGTTGCTTGCCAACGCCTTGCCGAATGTGTGTAATCGAGCAAAAATCTCATCCTCTAATCCAAAATGTGCAACCACACCACGTCCATTCTTGCCGTATACACCTGTGCTATGTGCCTGGGAATAGCGGGTGACCATTAATAAATGAATGACATGATATCATATAGAGTGGGGTTCCCATTTACCTCATCCACGACAATGTGTCCATTTTCTCTGTTTGGCCAATACTTTTTAAGCGTGCCAACGATTTGTGGAAGAGGAGCAACATCGCCATCCATAGAGTAGACCGTCTCGAGTGCGACAAAGACATTGCTGGTTGTTTCACCAAGGTCCATAAGAATCCGATTCAAGTCATTGACATCGGAATGTTTAAACGGGATGCACCGGGCAGCACGTGACATTCGCATTCCTTCGTGAACACTTGCATGGATTAACTCATCGTATATGACAATATCTCCCTTCTGTGGCACTGTTGCAAAGAATCCAGCATTGGCATCGAAACCCGAGTTGAATAGCAACGCTGTTTCTGCACCATGAAACGTAGCAATTTTGTTCTCCAAATCGATAGCGTATTGTGAGTTGCCATCCAATAAACGCGAGCCTGTGGATCCCAAGACACGATCCAGTTGCTGTAATTCATTCAAGTATCTCTCTCGAAGCATCGAGTTTTGTGTCAAGCCCAAAAAGTCGTTGGAGCTGAAGTCAATAGCAGTGGGTGGGTTGACTACAAGCCGTCGTAACTTTGCGATCTCCTCACGTCGAGTCAACGTAGCCTTCAGTTGATCGTGTAGTTGGTGGTGGTGTTGCTGTGACATTGTGGAAGAGAGAGTGGGAAAGAAGAAGAGAAAGGAACGTGAAGGGTGGGTTTCAACAAGTGAAAGAGATGAACTGGTTTCGTGTTTGGTAAGCCGCTTTTCTCGTTGTTCCCCACACACTCACACAACAACAATACACCCTCACCCCAACAACCGTTGCCATTCCCCCAATTCGTGTCTTTCTCTATTATGTCAATGCGACCATTCACTTGCTGAAACTCTCACGTAGACCATTTCATTCATAACCATGCCAGTCAACCTTGTTTTACCACCTCCTTTTATTATACCCACGGTTCCTTTGGTTGGCTTGCACTGTGCACAGCTGGGACTCGATTATGTCTTGTTACGAAAAGCACGACGCGGCATGACACCGATACGAGTGATGATTGGAGGCGCACATATCATTGTCCCCATGGTGATTGCTACCCGACATGATGGATGCAATCTTTTCTTGGCCGCTCTACCATGGTTCTATGCAGCTTACAGTGCTACTCTACCGCTGGAGAAATTAAGTGTACGCGAGTGGATGGAATCCTTCAATGCCATCGTGTTGGATGTACCAGATACAATGCGGGCTCAACTTGCTGAGGAACCTGATCGGATCAAGCACGTGGATGCACGTGGTACACGTCAAAAAGGTGTCATGCGAATTGCTCGTGGTGTTATCAAGCTTGCGCTCATGCATTACTGCATTGATCAATTACTACCAAACGACTCAGCATCGATGTTGACGCTTCCATGGTTCCATCCATCCAGTCTCGGTTATACTTTATTGTACGGATGCAAGGCTTACACATTCCTTGGGGTGGCAGATGTCGGAATGGGAATCCAACAGCTTATCTTGGGTTTACCCCAAATCGATTTATTCGATGCTCCCATGCTAGCAACAAGGTAGGTATTCATCCCTTCACATCCACCTGATTATCAATGACTAACTCGATCCTATTTGATGAAACAAAAGCCCAAAGGACTTTTGGAGGTAAGCACACCACACAACAAAAAGACATGGAGGAAATAATGCTAATAACTCAACGTTTAGCCGGCGCTGGAGCCGACCGGTGCGTAACCTTTTCCATCGCATCTTTTACCAAAGCGAATCGATATCCACAACCAATCGGCGGGGATTTATGGCCTTTCTTACCAGTGGGATCATGCACGAGCTTTTGGTCATGTGCCTTTGTCGACGACTGACGCTCGAGAATATAGCGTTCTTTACATTGCACGGATTGGCAGTAATGGCACAGGTTTCTTTATCGAAGCGATTACCAGAGTCTATCATCAAATCAACAGCCCTGCCTATGGCACGTTTTGGATGCATCATTGGAAACCTTGGCTTTTTTGCTATTACAGGTCGTCTCTTTCTTGCTCCTTATCTTCGCCATTATGCATCCTCTTCTTAACTAATAGTCGTTACATCTATATACATGTCCACACCCACTATAAAAGATAATAAACATCACCATGACAACAAAGATGTAGTGATCACGAGGCATTACATGCTTTCTTTATTTGGAATTTATTAGTGAAATCTACCAATCTACAATTCTTCGTGGATACGAGAGGCTACCAACTTTTCCTTGCCATGCTCATACACCGCATGAATCTGATCTCCTTGAATTTCCAATGCTCCAGGATGTCCACCATAGACGTGTGATATGCCAATATCAATTAAGATAGCCTTGCCCCCACATCGAGCACGAATACGTCCATCACGTTGTACAGTGTGACCCATCACCATTCGATCCGCCTAATGTATACCCTTTATCAATGAATAGCCCAATCCATACCTTGCATTCATTTACCTCCAGCATCATGAGCGCCTTGTCCAATACAGCGCATATGCGCTCATCGCCCACAGCGAATCCTCGATACCATGTAGGACCATCACCACCAAATAAGCCATACGTGTCTTCCCTTTCATTGATGTACGTCTCGAGTGACTCCTTTGCACGGCGATTAATCCCATCAATGCCATCATGTGAGTATTTGGGGAGAATGCCGCCATGACAAAATACAGAAGATCCAACTTTGGCTGTAAGGTTCCATTCCATGAGATCGCTTCCAATCCAACCTTCTTTGGAGAATGCTTTGATACGTGCTTGTTTTCCACCAAAAGATGCAATGTCATCGGGATGCACATATCGCCAGTCGCCCACCATGTTCATGATTTCATGATTGCCCAAAACAGATACAACTTGACCACCTTGTTCTTTTGCCTCGTCCCGTAACCGTTGTAGCAACTCATATAACGCTATTGTATCCACGCCACGATCTACCACATCGCCCTGAGCTCCTTGTAAGTCGATGGATCAAGCAAGGGTGTTGTGTGTAGCTATTTACCGTTTGCACAAAGATGGTGTCGCCACCAGACCACCGATTGTCTTGGTCAATCAAGCCTGCGAACCTCATGATGGTCAATGTATTGTTCAGATCGCCATGAAGGTCTCCCATGGCCACAATTCTTGGCTCGGTAACAGCATGGACCACCAGCGAAACGACAAGTACTGATAAGAACGCCAACCACTGTAGCATAGGGGAGAAAAGAGAAGAGAGAGAGAAGAAATTACGCTGTGTTTCAAAGCGCGTTCAGCATAAATCAGGCACGTCGTCGCCATGGCAATGTTGCTCTACTCCATTACATGTCCTTTTTTGACCAAAAGTATTCCATGCCAGTACGCATGGTCCATCAAATGTTTCTATGTGAGTAAAAACTTGTTGTCAAGGAGAGCAGCTTTCATCTTTACATACACGACTTGATACCATCCCCTTTATGCATGTTCTATAGCAGAAGCTTACAAATGAATAAAGTTGTCTACAACAGAGCTAAGCTGACTTGGATGTATTCATTGGGAAAAGAGATATTACTTATTACTTTATATGATTGTTGGAAGGAAAGGGTTGATAGGTGGATAATGAAACTTGGTAGAGGGAGCTCTAATCATGATTGTTCGTCTCTGGTGCAGAAGGGTTGCCATGATGAGAGACCGCAGCTTCATCGACTACGTCTTCCGTAGTATGCCTCACATGACCAAAAGTGCTGCTATCAAAGTCCACGCCTTCTTTGTCGGCTACATCTTCTTCTGTAAGATTGCTTTCGGTGACACGATTTGCAACAAGGAATATGCCAGGGAACGAAACAATCAAAATAATCCAGCTAATCAAGCATTGCCAGCGAAGCAATACACCACTACGACTAAGACCTTACAAAAAGCGAGTGATTCATGTTTTCCAAATGATATAGCCTTTGTTCAACATCCAATGAATCAATCACACCCTTTCACTTATCACAACCTTCACAAGCGGATACTCTTTTACAACCCTGCATTTACCATACCATACATCCTTCCATTATACCATGCATCACATGCCCTCACAAGACAAGATTCAATCCAGGGAGAAGATAGGGTCACATCCACTATGGAAACTCTCGTATTCGCCAAAGTAAACCTTTAATCCAACATCATTCACAAGAGATAGATTGAGAGGTACAACAAATTGCTCCAATGAGGAAGATACATCGATATGGGGTAAAGGTGAATGGATGTACGTGAGGTGATACTTGATGCGTGGTGGCGATTTATACCCATGGCGCGTCAAAACGTGGTGGTGGTTGAGGGCTGCACAGAGGATGACGATTTGTGATTGCCATGGAATAGGTTGTAACGTACGATAACCGGATGACGATGGTAGTATCACGCATGATGGCCAAGTTGACAATGCTCTTCCTCCATACATTGTATTTATCCATTCCCTTCCATCCCATGTACCAAACCAATCTTCAAATCCGTATCCATAAGTCGTATGTATTGAAGCAAGTTGCTGCACATAAATAAAGCTGCTTGTATACATTGGCTATGTGCTGCTCACGTAAAAAAGACTGAAAGGTAGGCTGCTACGAGTAACTTGAGACAATGGAATAGCAGCTGCTGTTACGTTTGGTTGTGGCAAAGGAGAGTACAAGAGCGTGTGTTGTAGCATAGAGTGACAAGGCTGTGAACACTGTTTGAGACAATGAAGTGAAGACCTTGCTAGCAACTGCTGGAATGAATGCTGTTACGTTTGATTGTCGTCGATGATTGTACAAGAGAAGGTGAAGTGTCAAGAGGCTCGTGTGTTGTAGTGGGGTGCACACGCCATGGACTCGCCATTCAGTTGAAGGCTTTCGAATCAAGACAGTCGTAGGATTGACATTGATGGGTTGAAGCAGCACACTCGTTCGCAGGTGGTAGTTGTGTACTTGAATGGGGCAACAGTAGAGAATGGAAGGCAGAGGGAAGAAGTGGAAATTAAAATAGGTTGGACACCTCTTGTATAAATGCATGAACACTATACATCCAACCCTTGATATTGAGATTGCCCCTTTCGAACCTGAAACTTTCACACATGGTGCTCTTAGATGCGCTGATCAGTATTGTTTCAAAAAAGACCTCATGTTCATTTAAAAATATTGAATGGGAGGGTACAATGTGGGATTACTATGGAGATCGGAAATCATGGCAGCGCCGGATTCATGATCTATGGAAATAGTATGTATTACCTTGGGATTCCCCATCTCGAACATGAAACTTTGTCAGAAGGTTCGCTGGGTCATGCTGATCGACTTCATTCATTTAAAATTGACAGAGTTCATTGTGAAGATTTAAAATGCGGGGCCGATCCAAATGGTGGATGACGGGAACAAAAGAGCGGACGGCCCACCGCCCCGAAGTTGCTCACTTCCAACTTGAAAATTGGTCAGAATGGTACTCTCGAGCATGCTGATCAACTCTTTCTTAACAAAGCCTCGCGCTTCATTTGAAAATTTGGAATGGGAGCTCCCAAAAGTTTGAAAGACGGAGACATTCGCAGACCCTGCGATTCATTAATTTTCATGTTTGCTGTACCAGCGTAACTCTGTCAAATGGGCTCGGATCAAGAAACTTGAATGCTGGAAATGCTCGGCTGGAGCAGAAGAATCGTTCACATGCAGTGGATTTTGCAACAACGCCGATTGTGAGGAAATGGCTGTTAGCGTGCACTATATGGACTATTGTGGATAGACCATAAAGTATAATCCATCAATCCTTCCAGTCATGCAAAGTAGCTGTGTTACACGAACACGTCCCTCTGCATCTTTTGCTCTGTCAGGGTCCAGCTACTTCACAATGGAGAGCTAGTCCGGAGGACTAGCTCAAACCTGACACATGAA